TTCTATATGCATCATCTTCTTTCATAACACAATACAGAGCAATTACTACTACTGTGTTCAATTAGCGATTGAGTCATCATGAACTAAAAAAAAATTAATAAAATGGAATGACAAAAAAAATTGTTATGAGATGATTTTCAATTGTATTACATAAACAAATCAAAATATTTACTTCATTTTCTTTTTAGTTGTATAACAAATTTCGTACATTACTTAAAGAGGACTCTTTGTAGGTTGTTTTTGTTCCACATGTGTGGTAGACATTTGTTTGCAGATGAGATATTTTTTAGCTTGAAGTATTTGAATTTGAAATTGATTTGCATATGATTGATGGATGCGGTATAGCTTTGTGTTGAGAGGACTTAGTAGATTTGGAATTTGCAAGGGATGAACTTTTAGATTTGAACTAATGATGATAGTTTGATGTCCAGACAGACGAACAGACTGAGTTGTAATCGCTTCTAGTCCCCAATTTTCAACCAAATTAAAAATTTCAACAAAATAAATTATTTTTGACTCAAGACTCACGTTAAACGTGATAATTTAGCTTAAATCTTTCAAAGCAATTTCCAAACAAAATTCTTAAAAATTCCAACAAACCTGTTGAAATAATTTCAGCAACTTAAATGACTTAATTTATTTTTTAAAAATTGCGTATTGCAAATGAAAATTACTGCAAATTTTTATTACGAAAAGCTAAATTATATACACAGCAAGTGAGCACAGTCAGTGATCAGTTAATTAAATTTTCTGTCATTTTAATAAATCATTAGTTCATGAATGAACTTAATGTTCATGATTGAATGTTCAAGATTTTAATCTGGTTTGTAATTTTTAATGTGTTTACAATATAAATTATTACAAAATAATTGGATGAATTTTTTCTTGGAATTGTTTGCGAATGAAAAAAAAAATAATGTTATGTAATCGGATGGGGTGTCATTATGCATGGTCTTAAGGACAAATGTTCAAGTATTTAGAGTTTGAAATAAAATTAAATAATCTCTAGTTTGGTTGAAAATCTTTTAATGCTATTCAATGAGCTACCAATGTGTATAAAACTCAATTTGACAGAACAGTTACTTAACTTAATCATTTTTTATTCAACAAATTAAATCTTCAGTTCATAAACTTCCACCAATAAAACTTTCATTAGAATTACGATTTCAATTAAATTCTTTAATATAATTAATAAAATTACTGATTAAAAAATCCAGTTAATGAGCAAATCCAATAATCTCCTATAAAATTTCACTGTCATTAAGCAAGCTATAATAAATTAATGACATTCTATATAAAGTGTAATTTCCATAAAATCATCAACAAATATGCACAATGCAAATTCTTTCTACAATCTAATGCCATCTCACGGACACCTGCCTTTACTGACTGTTTAAAAATAATTAGAATCACATTTCCTATTTTTATGTTAAACATTTTTTTAGTGCTGATCAAGATTTTCTAGAGGAAAACGTTTGCTGTTTTTAGTGACACCCTCGCGTATATTTAACAACCTTCCAACTTCCTCTCAATTATTTTTCTTTCATGCGATCATCATTAGATGAGTTTTACATGCACAAAAGTGTAGCTTTAGAATCTTTGCAGGGTTGGGAGTCTTTAAAATAACCTCAAAACTAAGCATCAACTAAGCTGCATACAGAAATGCATCAACTAAACTCTGCCGTCCAACTTCGTGAAGGGGAATTTTAAAAATACATTTATAGACATCAAAAAAACTGATGGAAACTAAAACTTAATCCCTAAAAATAGTTTTTTTTCTACATTTTATTTTATTGGACATTTAACGCATGGTGTAAAAAAATTTATATCACTTAAGTCAAACAGCTTCTCAAAATCACTCAATGTAATATTTTTTTTATGACTGTAAAGACATATTTCGTCGGCTAAGCAGCATGCTAGTTTGATAGTTGGTTTCTTTATAAAATGACATAAACATGTCTTCTTCTTGTCTTATATTAATGCTTACGATCATAAATTCTAGATGGATTGTGTGCGGTTGATAGAAGAGATAAAAAATTATTAAAATTAAGGGGTTTGGAGTTGGATTTGGATTTGGATTTAAGAAGTAGTTTTATTAAAAGTAGTTTTAAGATTTTAAAAATTGTATGAATATTGTTAAAAAAAGAGAACAAATTCTGAAGGTTCGAATCCTAAAATTGTCGAATCCGTAAATCTCAAAGTTTCCAATCTCAAAAAACACAATTTCAAGAACCTATCCAATTTCCATCTTAAATCTTTCACTAATGTAAAACAATTAAGAATCACAAAATCATGCATGATAGAAAATAAGAAAAAATAAATTCAGCACAATGTAGGAGGGCAATAAAGAGTCACAAAGTCACACACATAAGGGAATTGAGAGATGAATCAAACAAGATGAGACAACAGAAGTAGTAAATAATTTTACACACAAAATATTGAGCTCGAAAAATAAAGTTAATATTGCACAAGCAATAAGTTTTATTGATGTCACCAAAACAGCTTGCACAGTTTTGTGTATGATAAATTTTATGAGCCAAGCCTATAACTTACGGTGTTTTTTTTTTGCAAATAAGTACACAAGTTGACATTATAGTTTAACAGACATCCATACACACGCGAGTGAGTAAGTGAGAGAGACGAGGCATCACTTATGAATATAAATGTGCACAGCGAATATTTAATGAGCTACGATGAATCCGAAGGTGCCATGTAAATTTATTTATGACATGAGTGAAAATATTTCTTTAAAGGGCTCGATTGCAATTTATCTGACATTTTTTTTATTATTGCAAAATGTGAAAGAAAAGAGCAACAAGAAAACAAGTCTCAAGTTGGTGTAACCGACATAAAGTCTAGCAGTGCTTTTTTCTTCTTTTTCTTTGTCTTTGAGTTTTTTATTTTCATTCACGGTAAATGTAATTTACGCACATATTTCGCGTAATTTGTTTGATTGGTTGGTGAAAGGTGGATGTTATGATAGACATACTGTCAAGTTTTGCTGTTAATGAGTTGTTGCTTACATAGTCATTAAGTCATGACTGTTCTGAAGCGTCAGATATGATCAAGAGATATTGGAATGAAAAGTCTCGAGTTCGAATCTCGAAATTCAATAATACTGACTTAAATTAATTTGAAATTTCTTCGATGTCAATTTTTTTGCAAAATTTTATTTAAATCATTAAGAAGCTAAAAACTCTATTAAAAAAACCTTTAAAAAATTAAAATTATTCCAAATAAATGCGCCTTACTCCCATCCTAACCCTAGTCTCACAATTCATTTTAAAAAAATTAACATGACCTGCTTTAATGTCCACTATACGAAAAAAAAGAAGCAAAACGCGTCAACAAGCGCGAAACAGATGTGAAATAAAAAATAATAAAAAAAATTCAACAACAAGTCAGTCATTTAACCAGCAGTTGCCTGTTTGTTATTTAATCACGGTCAATCTATAAAAAATGTACATACGATAAAATAAAACACAAAAAAATTGATCGATATGAAAAGAGAAAATGAATTGAGCAGATGACAAGCTGAAAAGTATTCAAACGATTTTTGAGGGGAACTTGAGAAAATATGTGCAGTAAGCATGTAGTGAAAGGTCATTTAGTCAATCATAATTAACATTGTGTCATGCTGTTGTAGGTGTTTGTGTAATCAATGAAAATGACAGCTTTATTTGAAATGAAACATTTTTTTATTTCTCTTCTACATATTTCATGTTTATTAAGTTAGGACAGAGAGGGAGAGAATAAAATATGGAAAAATGCTACTGGTTCGTTGATTGCTTTGTCGCTTGACTATTTAGTTGCTCAAAGAGTGTGCTTAAAACCATTTATGGATGTAGTTTGTTGCACATAAAGCACATGAGGATCAAGATTGGAAGTTGATATTGTTTTTGATGTGGAATTGAGGATTGGAGCGCATTGGGCTGATTTTCAGGAAAGAAACTTATGATTTTGGCGCTATTTTAGAGTTAAGCTTATAGTCATTGAATAAGATCATGAGTTGCTAATTTCGTATTTTTTGGTCACACGGTTGTGTGTGGCATCTTCAAGGCATCATTGCCCCCCCCCCCCCTATGTATTTGAGGAAACACTTAAACAGTTTAAATTAAGATCTAGCTCAGATACGATATTTTTTCAGTAAACCGTTGGATATAAACTTCCCTTCAGTAAATACCAAGCAAATCGATAAGTTCCAGACCACCTTATACTCATCTATATTCAAATTCCAATCAAACAAAAAGTATGAATCGATAAGACAATTTAAACCTTACATCCTGTAGATCCAGTAGTCTTCAAATTACTATAATTACCAGAACATCTGCTTAAGCATGCCAATATCAATCTGATTGACTGACATCCTTGCTCCTCCAAGTTGTCATCGCTCTAAATATCCTACTGATTTGCTGATCACAATTTCTCAATCAATCACATCAAGAACATTCCACTTGCCACAATAATCAGCATTCTTAGTCAATCCATTTTAAAAAGACTTAAAAAAAAGAATCTCGATCATATCAAACCAATCGTCAGTCGTTTAAATTGAGATAATTTTAAAACGTGATGTTGAAAAAACAAATCAAACAATATAGAAACAAGACAAGCCGTCAAAATATCACTTTGCCGCCAACTCCTCATTCTGAATATCACAAATGAGAAAATGTAAATGTAAAAAAAAAGAGAGAATAGTAAATCAACGAAACATCTGTGGAGAGCAATAACAGCATTAAAACTTAGTTGACTATTTTATTGCACTCCACACTCATAATATCATATGACTTTATGTAGCATGAAAATAGTAATAAGTAGCAGTAACGGCAGCAAACTATGCTAACTGAATTAGCGAGAGTGAGAGAAAATTTATTATTTATTACAAATTGTAGCCGTCCACAACTGCACATACACTCATATTTTTCTTCCTCCAATTGCTTTCTAATGAATTTATAATAAAAAAAATTATACTTCTTCTCATTTCTGTTCATTATATCGTTTAGAAACGACGCGAGGACTCGGATGAAGACGTCTGTGCATTGAGTAAAAATTGGACATTTCAACCGGAAATACGACGATGGTCGAGAGTTGGTGAAATGGGACCGTTGAGCTTGAATTTGCCAAAGGGTGAAACATCGAAAACATCATCACGCGAATCAACGCCTGAAGAGTAAGTAGAATGGGGCAAATTGTTCAACATTAGTTATGCTTTGTGAGATTTGTGTGAAAGGAAATGAATAGATTCGAGCGCGATTTTTCTCTGATATTGTGGATATTATGTTGTATACACTGAATCCAGATAAATAACAGTTGAATTGCACTAAATTGAGCTGAATTTCACTAAGCAGTATTGAATTAAATTAAGTTGAGCTGAATAGTACTGAGTTAAGCTATATTAAGCTGAATAGTACTGAATTAAGCTATATTAAGCTGAATAGTACTGAATTAAGCTATATTAAGCTGTATAGTACTGAATTAAGCTATATTAAGCTGAATAGTACTGAATTGTACTTGAATTTTACCTAATTCAACTTCAGTTCAACATATACAAACTTATTTCAGCTAAATTCAGTTCCATTCAGCCCAATTTAGTTATATTCAGCTCAATAATTTCTGAATTCATCTTATTAAGCTGAACCAGGTGGAATTCAGCAATATTAAGTGCAACTCAGCTCAATTCACTGCAATTCAGCTCACTTACACTGAATTCAGCTCTATTCAGCGCATCAAATTAGTTGAATTCAGGGCTTTTCAGCTGAATTCCAATAAATCACAAGATAACACAAACCTACAAAATACAAGCTAACATAAGCAACATTGTGTGACTGCATATTATTTCATTCCTATAGTGAGAGTAAATAAATTAGTGCTACAAAAGTGTTAATTGGAAATTATTCATTCTATATCTAATTTTTCTTCTTTATTTCTCTTTTATTTCTTCCTCTCTTTTTTTGCGACCGACAATTTGATAGATTCGAATTAAATGTACCGCATATGAACTTAGTTACTGCCAATTATTTGTCAGTGCCACCTGCTGTCAACTCACAAGCAACAGCACAAGACTCACCACAGGCTAATAATAATAGCAATAGTAATAATAATAATCTTAAACGATCGGGAAGTGAGAGATTGAGAGATGGAGCAAAAAATATTTTACGACGTGTGGAGTCAATTAAATCACGTCGTAAGAAGAAAAAGAATCGTGAAGGTGTCGTAATTAGCGGACCAGTGCACTTAGACATAATGCAATTACATGAAAAATTTCAAAATCTCTCATCATCAAAAGACATCAAGACGTGCCGATCGAGTACAACATCACCGCTTGTTGGAAGTCCCGTCAATAATTCACCAGCCCCGTTATTTTTATTTGCTGACCAAAAAATATGTCCCACGACTGATTCACATTCCGCTACCATGTTTGGACAACATTTATCGCCATATCGCAAAGGTCATCCAGCATCGCGAACAAGTCCATTGCACTTTTTCACAACGTCATCAACACAACAGCGGAAGCAACAGCAGCCACAGCCAAATGCTGATGATTCATCGTCATTATGTAGTGAGGTCAGCTTAGACTCGAGTAACGAGAGTGCTGAGAAAAAATTGTCGCCAATTGGACGTTACTTCCATCATCATCATAAGAAGCAAGATGATGCACAGATAAGTGGTGCATTATCTGATACAGAAGCATTCCATGTATCACGTTCACAGACCAAGAAGAAGTCATCAAAAAGCAGCAGTAGCCAAAAGGCAAACACGATAGCACGTGGCGGTGGAGGTTCCTTAAATTTAGGTCGCGATTCAAATCGCTATCGAGAGAATCTAAAATCACGTCGAATGTTTCGATCAAGAAGCGCCGTTAGACACTCGACTGACTGTAATGATAACGCTCAGGATGTACAAGCATCAGCAAAGAGTAGTTCAGTAGTGCGATGGCACAGTTTTCGTGCAACAACAAATACGAAGCGTGATTTTAATGACGTAGAAGGCGTGTCACTATGTAAATTAAGTTGTGGGCAAATTGAAAAGCTGAGAAAGCTTGCACTAGTCACACTAACGGGTTACATGGAAAGGTATAGGCTTGTAAATTGTTATTGATGATGATGATTTGCATGACAAATTTAATCAAAATAAGTAAATGTGAATGAGAATGAGTTGCGGGGAAATTGTGAAAAGAATATGAGATGTGATGTTTATGTCTTGTTTTGAAAATTGAGTTGGAAATGTCTAGTGATGTGATAATGCCTTAGCGCACGATTTTATAGCAATTATTCATGGTTAATTTGCAGTTGGTTTTGGATTAGAGCTGCAATTTTAAAATTTGAACATTTATAAAGTCGTTAAAACTTTTATTTGAATTTTAAATATCAAAATTTGAATCTTAAATAACCGTTAAAATGTAAAAGTTCAAAATTCAAATCTTACTTGACTCAAAAATTCCAATTAATCCAAATCAAGCACAACAATCACATTACCTCATGCTCAATTCCTAAAAAATTCTCACTAAAACCCTCGCTCAGTCTTAATTTATTCGCGTACGATGAATATTATTAAATAATTTTCTCATTTAACAGATATTGCCCGACACATCGGACTGGCTGGAACTGGGAACTTCCAAAATTCATCAAGAAAATCAAATCACCCGACTATAAAGGTAAGGCATGAGTCAATGAATTGAAGATGAGTCATCCATTTCACTCGTTGTTATTTTTCTGTTTATGGCTGAATGTAAACACAACATTTGAATACTTATGAATTATAATAAATTCAGTGAAATTGATGATGAAATCATTTTAAAATATATAACTTGAAATTAAAAGAAAAAGTGAATGTGGGGAGGTTTTTTTGGGTGAATCGTTTGGAAAGACTTTAATGAAGCTGAAGGAAGCGAACTTTTATGGGCGGATTATCGAGTATTACGAAATTGTTGGAGATTTGCAAGTTGTTGAACCCGAGCTGTGTCTTATTTTCGTGGTTACCTTGTTGTAGCCTTCATATTTGATCTCTTGCACTAGTTTTTTACCAAGATGACACTAGAATGGGATCTACGAGGGAGATACGTGGTGGCAACGTCAGAGAAACGTGGCTCCCACGTGGGGGCGACATAGTTCCATATCTTGATCCAGTCATTCACTAGGAAAGAATGGTTATGGCTCCCTGCTTAGAAAGAAGCTTGTGTCGATCGGAACATTTCCAAGAATAACAAATGATTCAGCCTTGATGAAATCATCTCGGTCAGCAAAAAAAATTCAAATCCTATAAATTAACCCTAATTTATTGCAAGCATAACAAGCTCAATTTTTCCAAAATAGTCGATAACAAATTTACTCAACAAAAATATTCACACTGTTGTTTATTCAGCTTTAAGCTGTTGATACAAATTGTATGTAGTTCCATTCAAATCGACTCTAGCTGTCCAAATATAGTCCATATTGCCTTATTTACATCTCTATCCATTTAATATAAAAGAGAAAATCACCGAATAGTCAACCCTACTAATATAATGAACACATTACTCTTTAATCCAATTTGTTGTTATTTTCCATAATCTACATGAACTTACGTAATTCAATTCTCTGTGCTGGGTGTGACACTTGTCAAGTCTCTTTTGTTTGGCACTTTTTTGTCAACAATTTTTTTTCTCATTATTTTTTATTTGTGGCAATAAAAGCACCGACAAATTGACACGACTAATCTTTGCATCAATGGACGTTGACTAATAGTTGACAGATTGTCATAATTGTGGATTTATAGAATGTCACACGTTCTCACTATATCCAATATTTAATAAAAGGTGGAAAGGATTAAAAAATGCAATTTATGAAAGGAAGTTTTTCAAGTTTTGATTGATTAAATTGGAAGTAAAAGGTGATGTTGAGCTGTCAGTGATTTTTGATGGATTTTGGCGAAAGGTTTATTGGAATTTATGAAAATTGGCTGTTACATTGTAACCACATTGTATCATAAATGTAAAGTCGACAATTGCCTAAAATGTGAAAAAAATTGAGCTATTAAAATAAAAATTGATGCAAATTTCTGCATCTTTGATGCAAAGTTCTGCATCTTTGATGCAAAAAGCAACCAATTCGTATTGACATTGTTTCTGAGATGCAAAAAAACTTAAAAGATGCCAGACTTAAAATTGATGCAAAGTTCTGCATCTTTGATGCAAAAAGCAACCAACTCATGTTCAATTTACGTCCGAGAAGTAAAAAAGCTTTTAAGATGCGAAAAAAGAACAAAGAGATGCAAAAACTTTTGCATCAAAGAAGCGAAAAAAGATTTTAGAGATGCAAAAATCCTGCATCAAAGAAGCAAAAAATGATTCAAAACTTTGCATCTCAAAAAATCAAAATCAAATCTCCAAACTCATTTTTAAAGCCAAAAAACATTTAATTCCCAGTTCAATAACAACCAAAGCTATTCAATTGATGCAAAAAAACTGATCGGCTTAAATCCTTCAAGTCATAATAATCCAAGCAAATTAAAATCGAGTCCATAAATTCCGCATAAATAAACATTCTGTCATAACGGCTAACTTATGGCTCTCCTGCGTGCACCACATTAAAGAATATTTCACTTAATTTTTAATCTCAATGGAAAGTCAAGGGAAAAAGTGTCAAAATTACAATTTAAGAGGCAAAAAAAGTTTATATACTTAAATCATACCCTTCAGCATCCCATAATTATTTTTTATTCGCGAAATATGTCGAAAATGAATAATCATCGAATTAATTTTAAGACACAAAAGGGAGAGAAAAGAAATTTTTTTATATTCAGCTTGCGTCTGTCGAATAAAATTGTTTAATAAATTCTTCAATTCATTTCGCTTTCTTGACAATTTCAATCTCATGATGGGATGAGAAATTCGTAAATTAAATGATGAGACTTCAATTTTATGGGAAACAATGAATTTAAACGCATTCTAGACATGAATTTTTGTTTGTTTACAGATTTAACATTGTAAATTCAGATTAGTCAGTCAAAATGCTAGCAGTAACGAAATCCAATCGAGACAACAAGCTTCCAAAAATAATATAATTATGCTATAAATTATAAGATTTCTCGAAAAATAAAAATAATAAAAATTCTTCTTTTATTTCGTTTTCATTTTCAGATAAAAAAGTATTTGGCGTACCATTTTCTGTCATCTTACAAAAGACCGGACACACATTGCCGAAAGGCATTCAAGCAGCTCTCACATGGCTCAAGATAAATGCATTGGATCAGGTTGGAATTTTTCGCAAGTCAGGTGTGAAATCGAGAATTGCTAAATTGAAGACATCCATCGATCAAACGGATGAGAATATAATTAAAATTTTTGAAGATCAGCAAGCGTATGATGTGGCTGATGTTGTAAAGCAGTATTTTAGAGACCTACCTGAGTCTCTACTCACAACCAAATTATGCGATACATTTGTATCAATCTTTCAATATTTACCAGCTGAAGTTAAATTTGAGGCATTGCAGTCGGCAATTCTTTTATTGCCAGACGAGAATCGAGAAGTTTTATTGATGCTGCTCGAGTTTCTTCATCAAGTCGCTTCCAAATCAGAATACAATCAAATGTCACCGAATAATTTAGCCGTTTGCCTTGCACCCAGCATCTTTCAGAATGGTGTGCATAGTAATACACCTACCGCATCGCCAAGACGAAAGCGTGCAACTGGCGTACCCGATGCTAAAGATTTAGACACAAATCGTGCATCGTCACAATGTCTGACATATTTAATCATGAACTTCAAAAAAGTATTTTTCATCACATGCGAGAAAATCAACCGATGTAATTTTAGTTATATGGAAGAGTCACGTCCAGTAACACTTGAGGCACTTGGCGATGCTGTTCAATTATCAAATTGGCGATCGTATTTATATGAGTGCGTCAAGGCAACGATAAAGGAAGGACGTGAAAAATCGCGTGGATGGATTTCAATTAATTCATTCGATTCACTTACCGAAATTTACTATCGAAAAGTTGGTGATGGACATCCATTAAAATTATGGAAATGTGTAACTGAAATTGACGCAAATCCCATCACAATTATGAGTCGTATAACGAAGGAACGTCATTTATGGGATAAGCAATTGCTTAAAATGAGAGTGATTGAGCAGCTTGATAGCAGCAGTGATGTCTTTCAATATGCCTGCAGTTCTGGACACATTGTTACCGATTATTGTGTGTTGAGGTAAGTGAAAGGGTGGTGAAATTTTTAATTTATGATGGATTAAACATTTTATTTAATGCGTGTTTTATGTTTATTTTCGATAATTTTTGAAAGGAAATTGAAAAATTAATGCTGAGAATTTTTTTATGGGTTTCACTTTCTTATTTTAAATTGGGCATTGTTGCGAATTTTAAATTGAATTTTTTGAGTGAAAATTAAGTGCTTTCTAAGTAATTTTTTGGGTTTAGAAACTCTTTGCTTCAATTTCCGCATCACTAAATGATGCCAAAACTTCTCAGCTTCAATTTTCGCATCTTAAAATGATGCAAAAGCTTTTTGTTTTAATTCGTATCACTAAATGATGAAAAAATCTTTCTGCATCATTAAATGATGCAAAAGATTTTTGCTTTAATTCGCGTCACTAAATGATGGAAAAAAATCTTTCCGCATCTATTTTCGCATCTATTTCTGCATCATTAAATGACATCATTATATTTCCAGAACTTCATGTACAGATCTGCCACGTGGAGCTTGCGTAACAGTCGAAATATCAATCGAGCATCCAGGCGCACCATTATTACTAAGTGGCGTACGTGGTGTTGTACTAGCTAGTCGCTATTTAATTGAGCCAATTGGAAATGGAAAATCGCGAGTCATGCATTTAGCACGGGTTGACACAAAGTAAGTTTGATTGATTGATTTTTGAATTCTCAATTGATTCTGACGAAGCGGAATTAAGTTGAAGAAAATGAAATTGCATGGCCGTTTCTGATCAGCAAGACAAATTTGATTACTTTAATACTAAATTACTCTTAATTGATTTTATTTTATTAATTGTTGCTTCTTTTCTTCTCTGTTTCTTTTGTTTTTTTCTGTCGATTCTTTTAGGGGACGAACGATCGAATGGTATAAGAACTTTGGATACATTTGTGCACTCAATTTGGCACGAATTCGAGATGGACTGAAAATTAAATAGGAATTAAAGAAAAAAATTATATTAACTTAAGTCATTTACTTTGTTTGTTGAAAAAAAACTTCATATTTAAGTTAATTTTAGAATTAGATAAAAAAAATTGAATAGAAAATGAAAGGAATTGTTTTGTATTCGCTGAGTTACCTGAGAACCGAGTCTTAATTTTTTTTATTATATTATATTTTATACACGCGACACATTCGTACATACAAGAAAATGCTTATAAATTGAAATTTGTGGGACCAATCCTTGTCTTATTCCAATCGAAACAATAGCAGAAGCAATTGCGGATTTGATTTTGTGGTTGCTTCTAATTGAATTTTAATCTGATCATGAATTTTGATTGATTTGTTTGTAGATTCATAAAATGATGTTGAATTCAATTAGATTGACTAGTCTGAACTTTGATAAAGATGCAAAGAAAAGTTTCTTTGGCTTTATAAAACTTAAAATTGGCATTTTGCTGTTTGGGTTTAAGGAATTAAGTAATTTAATTATGAAAACAATAATTTTTCAAAATGAGTATAGGTTCAAATCCTAATTGTAACAGAATATACACAACCATTGTAATTGAAACCTTTTTGATTTTTCAAAAAGTACTTTAGAGCACTTTGATCTAAACTTAGCAGCTCCAGGCTGCTTTTTTTGGAAAAGTCTTGAGAAATCTCCCCCAAAATAGCATCAAAATAGATAATCTTATCACCTGCCGCCATCCATAAAGCAACCAAAATTCATGATTAGATTAAAACTTCTTCCCTTTCCCGCTCCAATAAGCAAATTTAATTTTACACACTCAATCCAGTTTGCGTCAATAAATGACTTTTAAAATATTTCGCATAAACATTTCGTGCCTGCAAAACTCATCAAAACTCGTTTCGAGATAATTTGCAATAACAATAATTTTGAAATGTTTATTATTTATAAATTCAAATTAATCGGAATCAAAATAGCATGCAAAATGTTTTGTAAATTATTCATTGATGTTCGGACTGGAACTGATAAACCTTTTTATATTGTTATACATCATGTACGTAATAATACTCATGAAACTTGAAACATCTCTCATCAATTTAAAAAAAATTCTATTTATATCAACAATTTATTAAATGTCTTTTAGAATTTTAAGAACCTAACACAAGAATCTTCAAATGTGGATGATTAAGCATCCATGTAAAGCAATTAACAGAAATATGAATACGTAATCGTAATGAAAGAATCCAAAATTCAGCGATATTTAATCAGTTTTAAAGAATTAAAAAAAAAATAAACATTCACTAGTCATTAAATTTCCTCAATATGGGTCATAATATAAACAAAAGAATTATTAAAAAGAAGAAATTAATTTGTGGAAGTTGATTCCCGAAAAAAAAATGTTTATGAAATAAAATGAGAATAATTTAAATAAATGAGAAAGAAGCTTTGATTTTTAAGATTTTTGTTATGAAATTCAAGAATCAGAATGGAATTGTGAGAATTAGGAATGGAGATGAATATGGTGAAATTAAAAATATATTAATTTGAATCTAAAATTTCACCATATTTGATCTTATTCTTGAAATTATCGTAAATGACTGGATTATTTTGTTTGTTATTCCACGAATTGAACTAGCCAGAAAGTTCTTTCACGGACTGATATATGCAAACAATAGAATCATTAGTAAGAGAAGATATATGACATTTAGCCCAATTAAGTCATAGCTGATCAGTGTCCACGGTAGCTCAGTTGTAGGAGAATTGGACTTGCCATCAGTAAATGTAGGATGGAAGTTCGAGTCTCAAATCTAGTTGATGAACGATAACATAATAGGTTCAATTCCTATCGAATCTCGGATAGTTTAAATAGATTTTATACATATCTTAGGAATACTAGGAATATTAGGAAATACACCGAGATTGAAGTACCTAGACAAAAACTAGTTCACTTAAAAAGACGAATCTTCTACAATCGACAATCTACAAATCGACAATTTTTGAAGACACCTAAAATCCCATGTCAATCCACCTTATCATGACTCAACAGTCACATGACTTTATAGTATTCAATATAACATCCTATCTCTAATCCAATTATATTCACAATAATCTATCATATGATGACTAATATATCAAAGTATTAAATTACAAATTATCAAAAACAATGAATATTTAAAAAAAATGTTAAATCAATTTCATATAAAAGAGAAATTCATTAACTCATGCCATGATTAAAGTCAATTAATGTCCAGTCATTCTCGAAGATAATTCATCAGAACCAATTAAATCACAATATTTGCAATTAAAGTTAATGATGTTGGAAAGTCCCAAGAAACATTCTTTAAAAATCAAAGATTCTCCGTCAGCAACAAATAAAATGATAAAAAAAAACCTTGAATTGAATGTAAAGAATTCAAATTCTAATCTTACCAAATAAATGTATAAAAAAATTATTGAACATTTTTAAGTTTAAGTGTTAATTTTATAAGAATTAAAAAAACATATTTTTTCCTGTTTCTTTAAAAAAGAAAAAATAAACAAAAAAGTTAAAAAATAAAATCTGAATAAAACTAAAGAAATTCTACTGAAATTTAAATCAATCGTTATGTTTCACTATCTTTCAGTTTGTAAGCCCATTAGCACAAAATTTTACGGTAATCATTCATGAAGACACTCAATGTTGTAAGATAGCGATATAAAGTCATATAAAAATGAACATAAAGATAAAGAATTGATATGAATGCGAAAGGTGAGTTTTTCGGTATCTTTTTTTTTCCTAATTTAATTTGTCTGCAAGCGGATGACGCGTGAGAAAAAATGTGTTTTTTGTTGCTGTTTGTTCTTGTTGTTGCAGATGGTCATTGCCAAAAATATTTAAATTTTATGGAAGTTTCTATAAAAATTCAGCTCTGAGAATTTAAACATGACCTTCTAGGTTGATCTTTCCATCGAAAAAACTTCTATTGACCTTAATTAGCTTCGAGGAAGTGAAATATTTTTAAGGTTAAATGTTTATCCATTTTTTGATGATATTCCATTAAGATAACACGATTGTCAGCTTGAGTTTGTTATAATATCATTGCATTTATATGAAAGATCCATAACTCAATTCTCAAATCTAATCCTGCAGATCCAAAAGGTTTATTTTTGATCATTTTAATCAGTTCTACATCCTTGTTTTCAACTAGGACTAAATGAACAATATATAGAGATGATTTGTCATCAAGTTACATTTTAGCAATAACAACTTCACCTGAACAAACTTAATTCCAATAAAATTCAGCCATACAAAACAAATATGATGCATAAACCTAGCGCATATTTCCAGCACCACTTGAACAAATGTTATACAGAAATACTGCTCATTTATTGCTATCTTCAAACGACTACTTGAATTATCAATTTTTTTAACACTAAACTACTTTTAATAAGTAGCTACTGTCGTGTATTGATAATAAATCGACAGCAATAAAATTAATTCAATTTACTATCTTAACTTACATAATTCAATGAACTTTCTGACAAAAATTCAAATTCCTAAAAAAGCTTCTTATTTTTAAAAGCTCACCGATCACCAAAAAATAAAAGTAAACTGTAACCGTCGGAAAAATTTCAAACCTTCATCGACGTTCGATAATGGCGTAAAGAAAAGTTACTAAGAAATATGTTTTAGCAAATCAGTTTTTGCAATAATTTCCATAAAATGGATCATCAAAAAATCCTTAATTATATGTAAATGTGAAGTTAAGATGTGCCTTAAAGTGGTGATAATATTAAATTATCAATGTATTATGAATTAAACTGTTAATTTTAATCATAATTATTTTTTCTGTATAAAAAAAAGCAACAAAGAAGTTATATTATAGTGTATAGATGTGAAAGAAAGAAGAGTATAGGAGGAAAAAAAAGTGAAGAGGAAAGAAAAAAAAATATTTTTTTTGAAGTATAAAAAATATTCCATTGGGTGTATATGTGGCATATAGTCGAAAGAAAGTTGAGAGTAGAAAAAATAATAAAATAATAAAAAAAAAATTATTTAAGTTTTTAAGTTGTTTGTATAACAAGACATTTTTTTCACAATTACGGTGGACTTATTGCCTTTAAAAATCATGAGTTCACATCAAGGAAATCAGTCGAATGCCACAACGGGAACCTATCAGTACCAATGGGGAGATCAAGTACTAGAAATTCCATCAAATATCAATTACCAATTGGAAAATATCATTGCCGCTGGTGGTGGTGTGAGTTAGAATAATTTTATTTACTTATATTATTGAGATTCGTTATACATATATGTACAGACGAAAAAAAAAGTCATGATTATGTGCTTATTCATGAGAAAATGTGTACGAATGTATAAAATTAACCTGACATACAAAAAAAAATCAACATGTGGAAATCAAATAAGAAAAAATACGAACACATAAAATAATTTTTTTTAGATCCTGCATTTCTTATTATATTCATACATGAATTTGCTATTTATCTTTTTCATGTGTAAATTACCACGTGCTACAACCACACGCATGATGATTTCATTTCAATTCTGTCTAGTTTCTTGTGTATTGTCCATATTTGTTTATTGATAGATTATTATTGTTATTGTTGTTGTCTTACTGCCCTGTTAAGACTACTTTACCAATAATTCTTTTAGTCAATGCTCACTAAGGTTATTGGCAGATTATAAAGCATTTTCTGTTTAGAGTTAAGTTGCTAATCATTCAATAGAACTTAACTTCTGGACATGCTTCATGCAAAATTTATTATTTGAAATTCAGTCTACGTGATGTATTCAAATCAAGTTTTTCTCATCTCCTGACTGTGATACAAAAAATAAAAATTCGTGAAGATGTTCTAAAATTTTCCATTTTTTCGTTATTCTGGGATCGCTCATAACACACATAGGATTGTCTATAATTTTTATGGTTAACTCCAAGAATTATGTCTTAAAAGATGATAAGATCCTATTAGAATGCTGTCAAGATTGACATATATATTAAAAATACATTGAATTTGACATAATTATTAACTAAGCCTGGCTGTTTTGAACATGAAAAAGAGCTCTATTTCCTGTTTGGCAGCTATACAGAGAATTTAGTAGACAGTTAAGGTTGACTTCAAAATGAGCAGTTTTTTGAGAGGAATTTGACCTAAAATGTTTTAAAAATCATTCCAAAAATCCAGTAGATTCAGATTGTGACTCAGATGTGAAATTGTTTTAAAAAATCATTCCAAAGATCCAGTAGATTCAGTTTTGACCTAAAATGTTTTAAAAATCATTCCAAAGATTCAGTAGATTCAGTTTTGACCTAAAATGTTTTAAATATCATTCCAAAGATCCAGTAGATTCAGATTTGACATAAAATGTTTTAAAAATAATTCCAAAGATTCAGTAGATTCAGTTTTGACCTAAAATGTTTTAAAAATAATTCCAAAGATCCAGTAGATTCAGATTTGACCTAAAATGTTTTAAAAATAATTCCAAAGATTCAGTAGATTCAGATTTGACCTAAAATGTTTTAAAAATAATTCCAAAGATCCAGTAGATTCAGATTTGACCTAAAATGTTTTAAAAATCGTTCCAAAGATCCAGTAGATTCAGATTTGACCTAAAATGTTTTAAATATCATTTCAAAGATCCAGTAGATTCAGTTTTGACCTAAAATGTTTTAAAAGTCATTCCAAAGATCCAGTAGATTCAGTTTTGACCTAAAATGTTTTAAAAATAATTCCAAAGATCCAGTAGATTCAGTTTTGACCTAAAATGTTTTAAAAATCATACCAAAGATCCAGTAGATTCAGATTTGACCTAAAATGTTTTGAAAATCATTCCAAAGATCCAGTAGATTCAAATTTGACCTAAAATGTTTTAAAAATCATTCCAAAGATCCAGTAGATTCAGATTTGACCTAAAATGTTTTAAAAATTATTCCAAAAATCCAGTAGATTCAGATTTGACCTAAAATGTTTTAAAAATCATACCAAAGATCCAGTAGATTCAGATTTGACCTAAAATGTTTTGAAAATCATTCCAAAGATCCAGTAGATTCAGTTTTGACCTAAAATGTTTTAAAAATCATACCAAAGATCCAGTAGATTCAGATTTGACCTAAAATGTTTTAAAAATCATTCCAAAGATCCAGTAGATTCAGATTTGACCTAAAATGTTTTAAAAATCATTCCAAAGATCCAGTAGATTCAGTTTTGACCTAAAATGTTTTAAAAATCATACCAAAAATCCAGTAGATTCAGTTTTTACCTAAAATGTTTTAAAAATCATTCCAAAGATCCAGTAGATTCAGTTTTGACCTAAAATGTTTTAAAAATTATTCCAAAGATCCAGTAGATTCAGATTTGACCTAAAATGTTTTAAAAATAATTCCAAAGATCCAGTAGATTCAGATTTGACCTAAAATGTTTTAAATATCATTTCAAAGATCCAGTAGATTCAGTTTTGACCTAAAATGTTTTAAAAATCATACCAAAGATCCAGTAGATTCAGATTTGACCTAAAATGTTTTAAAAATCATTCCAAAGATCCAGTAGATTCAGATTTGACCTAAAATGTTTTAAAAATAATTCCAAAGATCCAGTAGATTCAGTTTTGACCCAGTAGTTACAGAATACTTCAAACTTTGTCGTTTTTTACATTTTTGACTATTATGCTTGTTTGATGAAGCTATTCACTTGTAATACATCCAAAATAATACATTTTAACTTCCTATACATCCATTATCTAACATTTTTGATGAATTACAGATTTCAAAACCAATGTAAGATTAAAAACTAAGCAACCTTATCTTAAAAATACAAATAATCAATTCATAACTGGAACAATTTCAAGTTCTTATCAATAAACTCAACGCGAGACTGAAAATTTCAATAAAAAGTGAGCAATAATGAGGAAGTAAAGTTTTGTGTCTGCTAAATAATTACTTACCATAATTTATGTTTTTGATTCTTTAAGTTAAAGCAGACGTTCGAGTAAATAACTTTGCTAGTTCTGATAATAAATTAAATACAATTTTCTGTGAATATTTTTATGCAAACACATTTCGCAATGCATACTTGATGAGATAAAATGATTTTTGGAAGTGAAGCAAACGGCTGAAAATGTTTGAAGATCTTAAAGCAGCGATTATTCAAGGTTAATAAGTGCTTGTAAAGTCAAGTGACATTTTAGATTTTAGGCAGATCAGATTGAAGTTTCAAACATTTGACAATGGATTAAATTATCATGTTTATATTGATTAATTAAAGATACAGAGGCAATAGATAGTTGATGTTGGATTTATGGGTGTGTTTGGAGATTGATTAGGTTTAGGAAGTGTTTATTTTAGGATACCTTAGGGGCCATTCACTTATTACGTAACGCTTTTAGGGGGGGGAAGGGGGGGGGGCTAAGATTTTGTTACGGTTCAAACAAGGAAATTTTTTTTTCATACAAATTTTGTTACGAGGGGGGGGGGGGGGGGGGTCTAAGAAGTCATTTTTTCGCGTTACGTAATAAGTGAACAGCCCCTTACCAACAAAAGCCTTAAATTATCTGAAAAAATACAAATTTCATTCCTCTGGACCAAACTTTATTTCCTTTGAACTTTAAAAACCATCAAAGATCAAGAAGTAATGGTTTAAACTAACATTTCATAAATTTAAGATTAAAACTGATCAATATTCTAAAGATTGAATCAAAACTGCATTCCATTTTGACAACTTCAAATTCATCACAAAAGACACAAAAAACCAAAAATTCTCAAAACGTTTATAATACAGAACAAAAGAACCAGAAGAACCACAAAATTCACCTCAAAAATTCCTTTACATAACGTCTCAAGCAGCAAGCATTTCCTTACATAAGTTTGAAATTTTATTGAATTCATTTTACGCTATAACTTTTCTTCACAATTGTTGTTGTTGGCTGTTGCACAGCTCTGTAATTCTTTGAATTTAAAAAAAAATACTTGATTTTGCTTTTCAACGGCAATGCTGATCTGATGAAGGAAGTGAGAGACATGAAGCTTGAAATATTTATTTCTAAGAATTTATTGCAAGTCATTAACAAGTTTTTAAGAGTCATGAAATTAATTTTGAGTTTTTTTTGAAGATAATCTTGAAGCTAGGAATGTAGTGACCTAGATCTTTGAATTGTTGATCTTTTTGGATTAATAGAATCTTGGTCTTTAGACTAAGCAACTTTAAATCAACTCAAAATGCTCAAATTGCTTCAATTGAATGATTATAAATGCAAATTCCTGACTCATTCAAATGAAATGTTCCATAAAATAAGTAATTAAATTTAATAAACTCTCCCTAATCAAATGCAATTCCCAGTAAATAATGTGAAATGGGAAGTAAGTGAAAATGTCTCTGATGTTGATATTTTGCGCTCAAAAAAAAAAACTAAATTTACAATTTTGTTCAAACATCGCTGACTGATTAGATAAAATTGATAACAAACTTTTATAAGAATGGGACCTAGAACAGCAATTGTGAGAGTTTGATAAATTAAATTGGAATTTTTATGTGAAATTTATTGGCTGACTGGAAAGTTTATAGATTAATTAAAACAACTGTAGCTTAAACTGTAGCATTTTAGAGGTTTTAATGGATTTTTCTTGGAATAAACGCTTAAATATGAATTATAGACCTCCCGGTAGTAATGTACCCTGTTTTTTCGTTATAAGCTACTACTCGTTACTAAGCTACTAGCTTAGTAAAGTTTTTTGAACCTTAAAATTTTTTGTAACCTTTACTAAGCTACTACCAAAAATAAAGTTTAATTAATCTTTTTCAACTTTCTAAGTATCAGTTTAAATGCCTTATGACATTGTCAATGAAATAAAATCGGGAAGATAGCAAAATTTCTTTAATTAAGTCAAAAAATTCAAAATTTTCATTGAAGTTCAATTTCTTTACTAAGCTACTACTCGTTACTAAGCTACTAGTGAACCAAAAAAATCACTTTTTTATTCTTCTAAGCTACTAGCTTGTAACGAAAAAACAGGGTAGTCAGGATAGGATGACTCCTTCTGACAAGCCCCTCAACTTTGTTAGTAAAGTTTCAACAACTTAAAGCTTATTTCCTGCAAAAAAATGTTTTGTCATTAAGACTTATTTGTTCAAATGCAAAGCACTTTCAATTTACATTTTGAATGTCTATTCCTTTGATGCACGTTGATATACAGTTGTGTAAATAGCATAAAGATTCATAGCAACTTCATAGCTATCGAATTGGTATAGGCAAAGATATCAACGACATCTTTAAGAAATTTTGATTCTTAATCACTAGCAAAACAGCGACCAATGCACAAAAAACATATTAAAACAACAAATTCCTCTCTTTGAATTATTAAGAGCGTTAGACATACATCAAAGGAACGAAAAACACTTCATTAATAATACACAAATAGATTCCAATACTTCAAAAGCTACACGCTACTCTATAAAAAAACGGAAAGTCCACATGTTTTTGCAATTAACTCTAATATCATCGTCAGTCAAACTGACGTCATCGACGATGACTGATTCATATGCTATATCACTCATGACCTTAAAGAGTCGATGAAAAAAAAAAGCTTCAAATTTTTGTCGAATGTCGAAAATTTTAATGCAGTCGTAAATCAATCTAAATGCCAAGAAAAAATTTGCAGGCAGGCAATTATGACTGTAAAAGAAATCTTGTCAAGGACAGAGCAATTCCAAAAATTACAGACTTTACTGAATTTTCGTAACATGTCAATGCCTTAGTGTGCTGTTTCAGAAGATTATCTGTGATCAAAATAATTGTAATTAATTGTTGAGGCTACCAAGAAATCGGCACTGATCATGACTTTACTTATGTAATTTTGTGTCCAACGGATGCATGCATGCTGTGGATAATTGCTTAAATCATTGAAGTTTTTGAATTTAATCATCGATCATCGAAAAGCGGTCTAACATCCACAACATCACTAATCCACAAAATTTATACTTTTAGGTCCAGTACATTCTCTCGGATGGATCAATTTTGGTGCAAAAAGAGACCAAAAAAGATAGTAATAAGAATAGTTATAGACGTATGATTGTCCTGAATCAACAGCCATCAGAAATTGCACAGGCAGCTACAGTAACGACAACACAAACTGGTCCAGCGACACAACAGCGAATCATAACACAACAAATACCATCAAATGGAAATGTTGAAACGAAAAATGCAATTATCACAAATGCAAATCAAACAGCAGCAACAACAACAACTATACAACAGAATCGATCTGGAGCACAAGTAATAACACCAATGGGACCTTTGACATTGACTGCAGACGAGTACAATGAGCTAATGCAGCGTCGCTTACAAAAACAGGAAGTTGAGGTCCAGCAGAGGCGCGTACAAGAAGCACAAGAAAGAGCGCAACAAGAAGCTCAGCAAAGAGCTCAACAGGAGGCACAACAAAGAGCCCAGCAAGAAGCACAACAAAGAGCTCAGCAGCAGCTTCATCATCAACAGCAAATGCAAGAGCACCAAAATATTGCTGTTCAAGTACAAAAGATTGTGCAATCACTTGAGGAGGAAGTCGATGGAAAGAAAGAGGAGCCTGATGACATCGAAATGCATTTGATTGCACCGAAAATGGAAATACAAGATGTACATGTCAATGATGAGAGTGAGCACGGATCAGTTGAACAACTTCAGATAACGAAACAACCGAAAACTGAAGATGGAGAAGGAAAAGGTTCAAGTCGACCGTTTTCATGTGAGCAATGTGGAAAGAAATTTTTGCTAAAACATCATTTAACGACTCATGCAAGAGTTCACACCGGTAAGATCATTTACGGCGATGATTTATGGGATGATGAATTGGATATTATGAAAGTGAAAGTTGAGTTGTGGAAAAGATTAACATAAAATTATGATGAATTGGATGCGATGTTATGAATTTTTTAGTGGTTTTGAAACTTCTTTGTTGACATTTTCTGTTGTAAAGTGCGCAGGTGCGTATTATGTACAAAAAATGTTAAAATTTCGTTCAAAAGTTCAAGTTTAAAAGTTTGTTCTCATTTGATGCCTGAAAAGAAGTTAAACTTTTATGAATGTGCTACAATTTAAATTAGAGAACTCATTTTCGTCACATAATGCGCAGATGCGTATTAAAAAAAGGCGCAGATGAGAAATAAATTTGTTTCAAGTTCAATGCACTACTACTACATACGTACTAAGCTACATATCAATAGTAAAAATATATAACAACTCTACTGTATTGCGTAAACAATACACGATCGTGTAAAGCTTTCGGCAATTAAACTTTCATACTGTTTCACTTCCTTCAATTCTTTTTGTAGCGAACAAATTACCCAAATTAGCATATTTATCTATACGAATTTATTTATAGGAGAAAGGCCTCACTGTTGCATTCATTGCGGGAAAGATTTTGCTCATAAGCACTGCTTAAATACCCACTTGTTACTACATTCTACAGAACGTCCATACCAATGCACGGAGTGCAAGAAATGCTTCACATTAAAACATCATCTTTTAACCCATTCTCGTGTACATTCTAGAAGTCGTCCATTTGTTTGTACAGTAAGTAATTTGCATAATGAAATGAAATTTACTTTAACTGAATGAATAACATTTTTTTTATGTATTTCTTTTTTTTTTATTTAAGGAATGTGGCAAAACTTTTTCGCTCAAGCGACATCTCGTCACACATATGAAATTTCATGCAGGTGAACGTCCGTACGTCTGTCAAGAGATTGGTTGTGGAGAAAGGTGAGAATAAACAAGCGAAAAGAGAATGAAATGAGGTAGAATTGGCGAATATGGGTTGATGAAACGCACTTATTGATGATGCGAACTTTGATTTGATGTGGAAAAATTTAACGGATTTTCGAACTTTGAATTTTTCCTTCTGTTTTGCAACACGTTTTTTCCATATTTAATTAATTTTGGTAACAATTTCATTAATTTGACCTTTAATATTATAACCAACCAACTTAACTGCTTCCTAAAGATGGCAAACGTGTTTTTGGACTACTTTCAACTTAAACAATGCCTTGATTACCGAAATATTTGCCAAATACCCAAATTGAATAAAAAACTTCCTCTTTTTCGTTCGATTTCCTGCTAGAAATGTTAACATTTATTGAAAACAACAAATAAATTTACATTCATGTCCTATTTTTAGCTTCGCACAAGAACAGCATTTAGTAATGCACTCACGTTTCCATGGATCAGTTAATCCATTCGTTTGCAATGACTGTGGTGCTTCATTTGCTCGTAAATTCCAATTAGTAAATCATGGAAAGCTCCATGGTCGCGTACCTCACGAATGCACGGTGTGTGGACAAGAATTTTTGCAGAAACGAACTCTTGTTGCTCACATGCGACAACATACAGATGCACCTCACGTATGTTTAGATTGTAGCGAAGGATTTCGCACGAAATCTGAACTTACTGCGCATCAACGTATTGTTCACAATATACAGCCGCCAGTAAGAAATAAACATGGAACATCACACGCAACAGCAACAGCTACCAGTCAACAACAAGAACAACAGGATGATGATCAAATGGAACAGCATCAAGAAATTGAAGACGATCATCAACAATATATGAAACAAGAGGAGCAGCAATATGAGACGATTCAAACAGTTCACGATAATCAAAATTATCAAATTATGGTGCCAAGTGGAAGTAATTCGTCAACGATTGAACATAAAACAATAAGAATTCAGCAACAACAAAATGTACAGAGTCAACATCTCTGTACACAGTGCGGTAGCTGCTTTAATAATCGTGAGGCATTAAACTTGCATTTAAGATTACACACCGGCGATAAGGGTCTAATGACTGACTTATGTGCACTAACGGCAGCTATTCCTGGACATATTTTCCAAAGTGGTGGAAACCATTACATCGAAATTGATGGCGGAAAGTGTGAGTTAAATTATGATACATTCGAGACGTTTGGTGCCTTCTGTACCAAGCATATGTTTTATACGATCACATGCAGTTAAAGACAATAAATCGAATTCATTTGTAATACTTTTAGATAATATAACAAACGGCGCTACAATAATGGCCAATACAGGTGGATCATCACCAGTACCAGTTCAAATAATCACATCAGCCAATGGTCAGCAGGTAATTGAACAAGTTCAAAGTATTTCTCCATCATTATTGCAACAACAGCAACATGTTACACAACAAGAAGTTCAAATCGCTCAACAACAAGGACAAATTGTCTATACAACATCAGTTCCTCAAGATTCACCGGTCACACAAACAGTTCTTGTCCATCAACAACAGCCTCATCAGACACAACAACAAGTCACTCATCAACCACAACAGCAACAAATTATCGTGCATAATCAACAACATCATCCAAAGCCTAAGAATCACTTCTGTCAGCATTGTCAAAAAGGATTCGCAAATAAGCATGGCATGCAATTGCACAACAAGCGACATCCGAATGGTGAATGTACAATTCGTTCCCATGTTTGTGGTGAATGTGGACGTGGATTCTTCCAAAAGAATCACTTGATGCTTCATCAGAGACAACATATGGAGCAAGGTCGTGGCAGTAATCAAGTTATTGTTCAAACTGAGAGCATTACTGAAGTTGTTGAGAACCGAACAAATGAACAGGATGAACAACATCATGATGAGTTGGATGCGGCAGCTGAACAGGTATGATTGACTTTATAGTATGAAATATTCTAGAAACTTATGATTAATTTTTTATAGGACGCACACGATGAGACTGGATTGGATGAAATTACAGCAGCTAGTGACAATCATTCGAGTGAAATGCGAACACAAAATGTCATTGTCAGTAACAATAATAACAGTATAGAAAGTGATGAGAAAGCGACGAAAGTCTCAGTTGTAATACATGATGGAAGTTTAGGAAGTATTCAAATAGCCACAACGAATGAGGCATCTGTAGGCTCTTCCATAGATCAAGGGGAATAAATTAGTAAATTATTAGGTTTTTTGGATTAGTTTGTATAATTTTTTTTGTGCGGGATATAACTAGGGACTTGTTAATAGGAATAATGACTTGGTGTATTGATAGAATTTAGCAGCTAGCTGATATGATTGGCTTGATAATTCAGTATTTTTTTGAGTAACTTAAGAACAAGTACTTCGAGACTGAATTCTATTGTTTGCACTTTAGTTCCTCTAGCAAGTAGATTGCAAGCCCTTAAATATAATTTTGCGGACCTATTGTTAATGTTACAAGATTCTGTGCTAATTCAAATTTACATCTAATAAGTTTCAGTAGATTAATAACAATACAAATTTATGAAAAGACATGCCATGCCTATTTCCTACAATGACAACTGGATGTTGCCCCTTTTATGTAGTCTATGGAACTAAAAAAATCATAATGACACCTTAAGTAGTGTCGATCCTTAAATTTACCCTTTTTTTCGCTATTTCTGTAAATTTAAATCATTTAAAATTAAAAAATATGAGAAAAATTTACCAATTTAATTTCATTTCATTTGCTAAGAAAATTAATTTAAAAATTAAAAAAGAGATATATTATGTTGATATAAAGTGATAAGAAGTAATGTGAATGGATTGATTCAAGATAAAGAAAAGTATTTTCAAGGGAGTCTAGTGAGTAGATATGGATTTTGATGATGAATTGGAAGCTCTTTATTGGTTAGAGTACAGCGTAAGTCTATTAGAGATCCTTTCTTAACAGTTTTAAAACACAATTCATTTTTGGACTCAAACGATCAAAGTTTATGTCATTTTCCAAAAAAATTCAGGGTGCGAAACTAATAAATAACATTTTGATCTTTTTTGGTCACTTTTGATTATTTTTGATCATTTTATCAGTTTTATACCCTTGATGCATCCTTTGTACCGCTCTGGATACGGTTAAAAGTGCAACAGGCTGAAAGCTTATCTAAAATCTAGAATTTTGGTAAAAAGGGGATTGTTATGAATCCTTTGAGCGAATTAGGTGGTCTGAATATTGTTACGTACAAAATTCAAAACCATGCTGGGTTCAGTCCATCCTCAGACAGGGATTCAAAGATTTTAATAATCCCTTAATATTTTCTAAAAATGGTTTCAAATGAAATGGAACTTGGACACAATAAAATGATGTGATACATGAACACAAAATATATGCATCAGAACCAGTAAGGAACATTGCATCGAGAGGATTAAAAATATGACAGGGAGCTGGTTAGGTGCCTGATTTTCCCTTTTGTGCCATTCAGCAGCACTATTAAATTATGTCCTCCAGTGACTTCAAATATAAAAAAAAAACATCACCATCTAAGAGCCTTCCAAAAACAAGATCCAATTCCCAAAATCGACAAACAAATCCCTTGAAAAAAAAAATTCAACTTCCGTGATGAAAATTCTTAAAGAAAAAAAAAACGAACCACAAAATAATTCATGGAAGCTTAAAGTGCCTAAAACAATTAATCCTATAGAGACATAAGAAATACACAACAAGTGCATAAATGCTTAAGAATGCACTACAAAAATGCGTGATGGATGTGACAATTTTTCAATCCACAATAGGATAGACGATAAAATCGTTTACAGGACATTCTTGCTGGATTTTATGAAAAAGACCGCCGAGTCACTTACCATATCTGCTGTAAGTGCAAAAACATTCATGAAATTTTAAGAAATTGTCTCTTGATTGATAAATTAATAAGAAAATTAAATGTTAGATGTTAAGCATCAAAATCGCGTTTCTGTAAATAAAAAAAAAGTTGACGGAAATAAATAAATTTTATGAACATTTTTTTTACATCGATAAGAAAATAAATATGAGAAAATTTTTATTAATAAATTAAGCAGAGATGATATATGGACATAAAAATTAATATATATATTTTATAATGAAAATATTTTGTTGATGGATTTATTGAGCTTTTTAAGCATTTTCACAGATTAATATTGAGAAAAATATCAAAATTAGAAATAAATGATGAAGATATAGAATTGAAACTAGTTTTTAGATTATTACTGTCCTAAGCTACAAGTTCCTGAAGTTCTTATCATATTTTATAGTTTTGTTGTTATTTGTTCAACATTTCAGATTGTTAAATCGAATGGCAGGCACAATTTCACTGCAAATATACAATGTGGACTACAATTACACTATAACAGCAATGGTGGTCTTGAAATCGATAACAATTTTAAATTGCAGCTTAATTATAAATACCTAAAAGATCATCAAATTTTGTTTATTCAGATTATCAGGCAGGACAGTAAGCTCGTCCATTACATAAAATGCAATAATTTCAAATTGAATATTTATTGGAAACAAGTGAAATAATGAAGATTACATTGATATTTCTACTTTTATCAAATTTGTTGCTCATCTTCGGCTCACCAACTTCAAACCTTGAATACTCAACAAGAATTCTCAAAAACGTAGAAAACTCCAACCAAAAATGGAATAAAATGTGTCAATTACTAGTAAAAATCATTTAAATGTGATTATTGTTTTGATGACAGATCCAACACATTTTTCTGATTATGAAGGATTTCATGTATCAATTACAAATTATGGAAAGGAAAAACTCACTTTTACTTCATATTTATTGTCGAAAATCAAGTCAAATTTGAAAGCTGATTTTGTGATTTTACTTTTCTATGAAAAGCATCAAGAAATCAAACTATGGATACAGAAACATTTTTTGTCTATTTTCCTTGATAAAACCACAAAATTCTTTTTGATTATCGATAATTCTGTAAATACAACTTTGCTGTTTAATATTTGGAAGTTGATAACTTTTGGTGAATATTATACGGCCTGTTTCACTAAAGTGGATTATCCTCGATTTCGGATTATCCACTTCAGTTTTTTGGAAATATCTCCAGACACTTAAGATTTTTAAGAGATCTAATGTGTGATCTAGTTAGAGTACTTTGCTACTAAAATTAACATATACTTAGAATTTTTATATCTTCATTAGTTTGAGAATTATAGCAAAAATCGAAGTTAATCTAGTAGATTTGGCTAGAAATTTGAATAATTAATACTTCTTAACGAAAAGCAAAAGTTTAAAGTGTACAGAAATTTCAGGCATAGTTCACTCTATTATAATCCAAAATTAGAAATACCACACTGGCAACCTATATATGTTTAGAACATTATTTGTTAGAAATGAAAAACTCAAGACAAGTTCTTTTGGACTTAAAGCTACAAAAAGTAATAAATTTGAGACAATCAAGGATATTTTAAAAGGCGGTGAGATAAAAAGCTACAAAATAATTCATTATGAATCATTTTTAAGATCTCATTTAAACAACGGGAGTATTTTTGGAGTAGATAAGTACTTGCTTGATGAATTTAGCAAAAGAATTAAAATTCCGTATGAACTTATTTTGGAAAGCAATTCAGTTTCATCATTTACAAAAATCTATTCTCATTTAAAATTAACTGACATTTGCCTCTGTCCAAATATTCAAATCTTGTCACATAATTTGGATTATGTTATTTTAAATGAAATGGAAGGATTTTGTTTGCTAGTTCCTCGAAATATTCATGTATCAGCTTCTGATAACTTTATCTCATCATTTGACAACTCTTTGTTACTTTTTGATTTTATATCAATATTCCTTCTTATTGTTACATGGAAAATTCTAGCTTCATATGGACCTAATAAAAGATCAATCACATCCATCGTGTTTTCAGTTTATAAGATTGCAATGAATTTAGGAGCTGCAGGTTTGGATCAATTAACAAGAGAAGAAAATATTCTAATTTATACATTTATATTTGGATCTTTTTTTCTTGCTACATTTTATGAGACAATCTGCGTAACTTTTATGTTAACTGATTCAACAATGAGATCTGCTTTTTCTATTAAAGAGTTGAATGCTACTAATACTAAGTTCCATACATATTTTGACCGTAAAACTATTGAAAAAGCAGACTTACAATCGATTCGAGAGGAGTTGGTCTTAAATGAAATTAACATACTAAATCCAGCATATTTACAGATTCCTGACAATCTTGACGTAAATTTAGTTTATACTTTACAGTGTCAATACACAGATTATTTCTTAAAATCTTCACAAAATTACAAAAACAGCCAGCAGTTATTTGATAAGATAATATTAAGACAAAATTATCAGAATTTTTTGATAAACAAGGGATTTTTCTACAAAGATGAGTTCATAAGCATGATTGAAGCTTTAGTAGAATCAGGAATTTATCAATTTTGGCAAAAAGAAGCGATCAGAGAGTCGTCAATTGAATTAAGTCCAATGATATCTTTACAAAAAGATATTAATAGAATTGAATTTGAAAATATGGCACTTCCTGTTGTGGTTGTACTGATTGGATGTTTGGTAGCTTTAGTTTCATTTTTAGTAGAATTGATAATATTTAAGTTTCATCATAGAGTGAAAATTGAAGCATCAAAGATAGGAAATCATATCCGAAAAAAGATAAAACTTACAAAATGGACGAGGAAATACATCTACAATGAGAATCTTAAAGAAAAGTTTCTCAGTTTTAAGATAAATCAAGTCAAATGCAGTCAGATGATTTCAATAAGATATATCAAGACATATCGGAAGTCATGTTTGAAGAGCTTTGCTTCGTATATTTACACAAGGGACATTTTGCGATCAAAAAATGAGGAGACATTAAATGGAAGCTTCTTTTTGTCTAAGAAATATCGAAAATGTATGGTTGATCCTAATTTTCAAAATACAAGTCCAAGAACATCAAGAGTTATCAAGACACCGAGAATCAAAAAATTAACTACTAATTTTAAGAATCTATTCAAGAATAAAAGGCAGGTTCATCCAAACATAACTCATAAAATCATTCAAGTTGGTCCTTGGAGAACTGAAAATTAAATAACATAAATTCATGTGATCTTTATGTGCTTCGTAATTTATTAATTCTGCTTCAAATAAACTAGTTGAAAACACAAGAAAAAATTACTGCAATGTGAAAATATCTGATGTGTTTGTGACCTGCATTGTTCCTCCAATTTCTCTTTGCTTCGCTTCCATAAAGCATCTCTTCTTGAGTTCAAAAAGCTCAGCTAAATCAGTCCACAAAACAATTTGCTTCCGGCGATCTTCTTTGGTCATGTTCAGGTGAGATATTTGCTGTAAGTGGGTAAAATTGATTTAAAATTAAGGCATGGATTTAGAGACTCAGCTTAGATCTGAAGAAAAAAACTTAATCTAGGAACTCAACATACATTCTTTAACTTCGAGTAAATATTTTCCTGCTCCCTCAACTGCATCGTCAATGTTTCCCTCAATGTTGTCGTATTCTTGCGATCTTTCGGCATTTCTGATTCCAGCTTTGCTTTTTCCAACAAATTATCAACTCTATCGTAGTCAATCTTCACATCCTGCCACTTTTGCTCAAGCTTCTTTACTTCCTTTTCTGTTTCATTGTATTCTGCCTGAAGCTGTGCTGTTTCAGAGCTTAGTTGGGCTGTGAGAGCGTCATAGTTCTGAAATATTAAACAATATCTCAGTTTGAGGACATGGTAAAGCAAGGCACAAGGATTTAAGAAGCAAGAAGGAATAAAAACTTAAAATATTTTGTATTTTTGGAAGATTTCAGTCTAAAAAATTTTATTAACAAATTTATTTCAAATAAATCAGCATCTATAAAACATAATTAAGTACAAAACATAACCTAAGACAAAATCAGTGGCTGTACAAAAATTCCATCCTTATTGTCAATCTTAACTGCTTTGCAAACAACATCATCAAGTCTAAATGTATGAAGCGGTGACAAATTGGCAACTAAGAATAATTTTTGACTCGATAGCGGTGCCTGGAACATGATCTCAATTTTGCTGTATCTCCTGCCAATTATAAAGATCTCGCCTGTCTTATTATCACTACAAATTGCCTCAACTTTAACAATTGAATCACGTGTCATGATGTGATTATCTGGTTCCAATATTGAGACTGTGAATTTTTTAAAGACTAATTCTCCTTTGCCGTTAATAAATGGATATGTCGTGTTGATCAGTTCATTGACTTTATTTTCGATCATATTATTGGAATTTTCAATAATTTTTTCACCAACATCCTCAAGATTGACTTCTTCATTCATGTCCAAAATTGAATTAAACATGCTGATTTGATCTTCATAGATGAATCCATTAAGATTCTTAAGCGGCCCAAGTTTCTGTTGGATCTGCTCAAAATGTAGTAAATTATGAACATTATAGTCAACCTTATCACTTCCATAAAGAGTTGTAAAGTCAGCGATGAAGGTGTTTAGTAATTGTCCTAATATAAATGAATTCGCCTCAGCATTATGATCATCAGAACTCATTAATATTCTCATAGCTAAATGCAGGTACAAAAAGTGGACATAATATCTCTGCTGCATTCGACTTTTCATTGCTATCGGCGAAAAATATAACAAAAACAAGTTCCAATCTTGTGAATCCCACTGAGACACATCATCAAGTGATCGTGGCTTTTTCGTAAACTCTCGAGGACAATTTGCAGTCATGAGTAGAAGGTCTCTAGAAATTTTCTGTTGTGTCTCTTTATTAAGTCTATAATCAAGCTTTCCTTTTAACCATAAATTCATTAAATGCTTCATGACTCCATTACAGACTACAATTTTATAATCTAGTGCGAATTGTGATATTAATCCAATATTAATCTCTGTGAGAATCGGCTCAGCTACATGATGATCATTATTTAATAAATATCTAAAATCGTCATCACTTCGAGGCGTTGCTAGTGTCATTGTACTTGGAAAGCTTGCAAATCCATCATCAATTTGTAAATTTGCACGTTGATTACATTTACTACATCCATAAATGGAATTTGGGAGAGATGTGCAGGTAATGAGACTATTGCTTATTGGATCACATAAAAATGCATTTACTTTTACTTGAAACATGTAATTCCCCTCGACAACAAGCTCCTGATTACTAAGAATTTTTAATTCATCGACCAACGGCTTCATTATTTCATTGCCAATTGTGGGCGTGGGGAAAGATCCATAATAAATGCCAATAATAAAAGGATCATAAAATATTTGACAGTTTATTCGACCGAATATTATCATACATTGTGGTACGGTAAGGCCATTAGAGATCTTAGATTTGACTATATAAACAGCAATGTCTATGGATAAAATATCAAGAGGTTGTGATGGCTGTAAGATGCTATCGGATGATGTTACAAGAGCCATTGGTTTACGGATGAATGATGGTCTATAATAGCTTCTTATTCCCCTCTCTATGCCTATATTCAGGTATGATCCAAAATTCATTTTTATTATGTCAAATTTTTTATCAAAAAAATTCTCAGAATTTCTAGCAATTTGAAGTCCATTTGACTTCATGATGTTCAGCAGGTCTTCAAACATTTCAGGCTTTGGATTGTGTTTCTGTGCAAAATCAATCAATTGCTGTCTTAATGTTGGCTTGTGACTTGGACTTGATTCATTTGATGAAAATTCAATGAATCTCACTTTTGTGCATGTCGGTGACACATTTTCTTTATCTTCCATGCTGTGATCAGCACTTTTCGGCGTTCCATGATATTCTTCCTTGATTTTATTCTTCCGCAGGTCAATCAACTCTTTATGTTTTAATTTGTTATTCAGTGGACGTGTTATTGTATCATTAAGGATGTTCAGTAAGTTAAGCTTAACAACTTTCTTTATCGTTCGATTGATGCGGCGTGCAAATGTCTTTTTAGGCTTTGGCGATGGCTTTTGTGTTAGAATTTTTGTAGAAAATAATCCACAATGGAATTTATTAAAGTTCATTTTTGATACTTTTTGAGGATTCTCAACCGGATTGTCAATTAAAAAATCATCAAATAATTATTGGATATTCTAAAGTGTTTGCAGTCACTCAAAACTTTAATTATTTCAGCACATAAAATATATTTTTTTCTCCTTTTTTCAAAACAACACCAAACAAAAGTACTTTAAAGACTGACTGAAATATTTTTGGTCTTCGGAACCAGCAAAAAAAAATATTTCTTGTTTCAATTTTTATTTCTAAGAGGGATGCAGTTTTGAGTCCTTAGTAGGTAGAAAATACGTCAAATGTATGAAAAAGGATCATAAAAGAATCGATACCCGATACAAACGGACATGCGTTTGTGTGCGTAACTGCATATTGCAGCTTCTTTATTCCCTCAAATTTCTTCGTCTTTCTTTTTTTTCCTTTCCTTTCGTTCTTCTCAAATTCGTTCCTGAACATTTTACTTCTCTTCTTTTTTACAGCCTCAACTATAACTATAACTATATAGAAAAATCATTCGAGCGGCAATGGGAAATCTCATGCCGGCATATTGATCGACATTATTAGAAGTAGAAACATTATCGAATTTTATGTGACTGATTGATTCTAAATTGTTATTTTCTTGAAGATCCAGTCGATTTCGTTAAGATAAAGGTTAAAAATGAGGAACGAAAGATAAAATCAAGGAGAAGTAGAATAGGATGAGTAAAAAGATGTTGTAAGGATATGATTAAAGATTTTTTAACTAGGTTTGGAAGTTTTTTGTTGACTGAAGTTTCTATTAAACCTTAGCCCAACATTTATTAAACCTAAAGTCTGCAAAGTTTCTTAAGCTCTTGATACTGATTAGGTGGAATGGTGTGGCAAGAATATCTAATAATTAATGGACGCACAGCAATGACTGATCAAATGAATATCACAACTTAAATCCAACCATATCTTATCGTAAAGCGTTATCATGTGCTTAGCAATACTTTACAACAACGAATCGTGATTGGGATATGAAAACCTGTGCTTTATATTGAAGATCGTTCTTAAATGATGTCCAATTTTTAGAGGGTATAATAGGCTATGTGACTAAAAGAATTTTGTGTCTTTTTGGATCTAAAAATCCAAATAAATAGATTTAATTTTTGAATGCTTAACAAGAATAAAGCAAGCCTGAATGGACGTTCCGACAAACTTTTGTCTCTAAGACCTAACATTATTAACATCAACCATCCACACCCTCAATCATAAACTTATATTATTTCGTTTAAAACATATCTTTAAATCTTATTTCACCTTCGTCTTGTGCTTATTTACTTTTTGTGTACAAAGAAACCTCTGCATTGAAAGCATATCCACCCTAACATGAACAAGAATTTATCTAAAGACTCGTTTCCTCAATTCTATATGTTACTTCACTCAAATCTAATATTGTGTTCAATCTATATTGTGGCACAATACACAACTACAATCACCATGAATTCCTTTATGTTCTGTTCCTACATAAAAGATTTTTTAGATAAATAAATTTGGCTGCAGCAGTGCAAAAACTGCACTTTAAGCCAAAAAAGGCAATGAAATATGGACAAACAAAAGGTTAAAAAAGAAGAATGAATAGACAGGTATGCAGTTTTTGTCACTAACCTGCTTCTTTGAATCACATTCATCTTTCAGTTCAGCAATTCTCTCACGTAACGGACGCAGCTGTTGTGAGATTGGTGAAAGTTTTTCGCGCGCTCCTAAAACAGCACGAGTAAGTCCGTCAACAAGACGTGATAACTCTGTCATTCCACGTGACTCTACTGGAGAGTCGGGACGAGAGAACATTGGTTCTAAGGAACTAGCATCATCATCAGTGATTGTTGCTAATGATGGATCTTGTGCCTTGAGATTCTCAAGTGTCTCTGACAAGTCATTTGCTTCTGCCTTAATTCCTGCTAATTCTGATCGTTGTTGCTTGTAAATGTTGCTTTTAGCACGCAAAGTATTTACAAACTGCTTTAAATCCTCACCACGCAGCAAAATGTCACCTCCAATTGATTCCAATTTATGTTGTTTTTCCTTCAACTGAATTTCTATGTCATTCAGTTCCTTTGTTAAGTTATCAAGTTGCTCAGCAACCAAATCCTTATTTCGAGCTATTACCATGGCTTGTTGTCGGAATGGTCCCAAGCCTAAAGCATCATTTTGCTGACTCTTATCATTCATTTTAGTTTCGACCATCCTCTGAACTTCCCTACTAACTTCATCGATTTTATACTGCAGATCTTGGAGATATTCTCGACCAATGTTTGGCTCGTCAATGACTTCTTCTAGAATTTGCACTTCCGTTTGACGAAGAAGCAGTTCTTGTGGCAATTTCTGCTTAACCATGAATTCAAGCACTTGACCTTCTTCCATGATCCCATCTAACATTTGTTTTGGTGTTGTTCCTTGAGTTGCCATTCGAATGTTCTGATATTCTTTCTGTAATCTTTCATTCTGAACATTAGCACGTTGGAATGTCTGCTTCTGTTCCTCAATCTGTGATGTCAAGTCTTTCTGCTGATCTTTTTCAATTCTCAATGCCTTGGCAGATTCAAGGAGCAGTTCATGCTGTGGAACCTTATCAAGTCTCACTTGAAGTCTTTCAATCCGCTTCTTGACATTCTCAATTTCTCCTTCAATAGCTACACTGTCACTGCGTAGCTCACGAGTCTTCTTACCTTCTTGAACAGCCGTTTCATAGCCTTGATGGATGTCCTTAAACTCTTCCATGACAATTTCATACTGACTGTAAAGGTTCATGACTTCTGGAATGGAAATGGCTTCTGGTGGAAGGTTGAGGGGCATTAGGAATCTGTTGAAGTTAAATTAATTAAGTTCTGGGTATGAATGAGATTTTGTATATCTACTTACTTAGCCAAATAAGCCAGCTTCATGATCAACTCATCGTTCTCAAAAATCCACTCGAAAATCGGATAAATAATTTTCTTGTCGCCCCTAACAAGACCCCTACGCAATGCAGCAATGTCTGTTTCATCATCAGTGTACTGAATCTTTACAAGACTTTCCATAATTGTCTTATTTGTCTCATCAGGATCATTTTCAGTCACATCCCACTAGCAATAAAGCAGTTATGAACAAAATATTAACAGCCTGCACAGCCATTGTGTAAAAAGTTTCTTACCTTCACCGTAATTATTCCAAACTTCAAGAAAACATCGAGTAAAAGTTGTAAAAGTGATTCCTCAGATAAGGAATCGAAAGAGATAATATTGTAGTCCGTATGCAGGAGTTTATTTAAAGATTGAACGATACTTTTCAGATTTTCAGTCATTTTTCACAACAGCAATTTGTCCACAATAAAAAGGAACAACAAGCTTGTTTGCATATTTTTCGTTGTCATGGAGAGATTTTTTTTATTGCTTTATTGTGGAAGGGCACTTTTGTTTCCAACACCTGTTGACTGTAAACATATGGATAATTTTTAAGGGATGATTGTTAGGGAAAGGTAAGTAATGAGAACGGGAATTTAAGTTAAGATGGCAGTAAAGTTTGGTATTAGAATGATTTTGTGAATATATGAAGCGTTTCAGGCTTACAATTGTGTTGTTTTGCTTCGTTTTGGACAGTTGAAGCCTAGCAGTAGATGAAATTCAGTTTGAAGTTCTAATCCAAGCAACTTTAACTCATAATAAAGCTTTATTCTATAAATCAATGACTGACCTTATCTAGCATCAATCTTATGACTCCGGATCGACACTTTTCAATCAGTTCCTCATGAATCACATTACTCAAATTCTGAAAATACGCTAATCACAACAATTCAAGCGACATTCCTCAAACCTTGTTCATCACAATAATGACGAATTTACATTTTAATCACACATCTTTATTATTATCAATTTTTATGTATTCCATGCCTATACACTTTTTTAAAATGTTCAATAAATATAAGGGAAAAAAGAGAAGTTCTTCTTTTAGAGAGTTTGCTCGTGATTTGATGGACATTTCTCAAAAAAAGTTCAGTAAGTCAATAAAACTATTCAAGTGATGTTTCCAGCCTAAAACGTCACTTGAATAATTTTCAGAAAAATATTTTAAGATTCTTAATCAGCACTTCGACCAAGACGTGGTAAATATGGCGGTAAATTAGACTGTCTTCCAAATCTAGGTGGATATGGTCGACTGTTCAAGTTCTGATTGGTATCTGGAGAGTCACGTCCATATCGTGGTGCAAAGACTTTAGACCTTTGTTGGAATTTTGGGATATAAGGGCCATCAAATGATGAATCGTCAGCTAAGAACTTTTCGAGGATTATTTTCTGAAGATCTGGTGATTTGTCGATTTTATCAATAAGCTCTATGAATTCTACGGGAAGGTCATCAATGAACTGTTGGCTCCTATAGAAAATTAGATAAACGAACGGATTATTAAACTTTTCTATTTCATTTGCTGATTTTCAGTGTCAGTTCCAAGTCAGTTCATCAAATGATTAAATTTTCCGAAAGTTAATGTCCATAGATTCTTGATATTAGAGCACTACAAGGTCTTAACACTTCCTTAAGCACAAACAATTCACATACACACCTTTTTCCAATTCTCGGTCCAAACCAAAATTCCGTTGGTCTTCCAGATCTCTTCGGCTCATCCATTGGATCTGGTTTCGATTGATACAAATATTTATTGACGTTAGTTCCAACGCTATATTCCTTTTTTGAGAAATTATGCAATTTATTAATTTTTAATTATTATTTTTTAACTAATTGATATTAATCCTCACATCACTTAAACCGCCACAAAGTGCACCTTGAAATATCACATAAAAGACTAAAAGTCCAGTAAATACAGCCAACATTTTTTTTTGATACTGATTATCTTGTTTCTGTATCTTTATTCCAATAGATCTGATAAACTAATGTCGAAATAGGAACTGAATCCATCCTTTTATATCATTTTATGGCCATTTATCAGTATCAATCACACAGTAGGTGATCCGTATGTCCACTATTTAGAATTTACATATATGCTGTTGTATGTGCGCATTTAAATCTATGTTGTTTGTGTTAATTGTTGTTATTGAAGCTGGCGACAATAAAGGATTAGCTGCTGATGATGTCATCCTGATTAAGTGAAAAAAATCTCGAAAACATGCAAAACATCTTCGATAAGATGCTCCTTAGGAACTGATAATTTACATTATAATTTAATGACATGACACACATTTCCTTCTACTGTCATACACAAGCTTCTTATGTGACTACGACAATAACTACAAAGTGTCGAATGAAAATTAATTATACGCGTGTCAATCACATTTGAAATTAACAAACGACTTGTCCTACGCAACATTGGACTGTCCATTGAATGGATTTACTCTCTTTTTTTATGTACGTCACAATGGATGTTGATGCTATTTTTATAGAATTGGCAAAAGCTGAAAGAGTTTTTGAGAGGTTAAAGACAACACTATAAGCTTTATATCCAAAGCACACACCATAAAGGAGCAAAATAATTTGTATTTTAGTGGTTCATATATAGCGTCTAGTCATAATTGAAATAGATCAAATAGAAAGCGGTAATCATAATCTTTCTTTATTTCAAATTTGGAATTATTGTAGTTTAAGTTACATTTCTTTGAGTCTTATTTTGACACCAGCCTGAATATGGCTTTAATTCAACTATATCTTGATTAATTATTAATTTTGATGAATGAGATTTACATATATCATGAAAATGTGGCATAAAAAGTTTAAAAAAAGTTGCCGAGCGAGAAAAAAAAAGCTTTTTTAAGCTTATGAACTACGTTAATAAATTATTTTTGAACTGGCTTGTTCGGTGCTGGAGGGCAGCCAATGAAGCCATAGTTCACCATGATTTTAAATGCAGTTCTTTGAGGTGCATCCTTTGGGATCTTTCCGGCTTCGTCGACGAAACTGCAGAACTGATTTATTGCTTCTTCAATGTTGGGGATTCTCTTTAGACGTTCTTGAGCTTCTGTGAATTTCTTGAAAAGGCTTTCATTCTTTACTGCTTCGTTGAGTTTCTCTGCATAACTGATATTATTGATCAGTTGTTGCTGATTAATCTCTTCTTTAAATGTTGCTGATGAGTTACTTGCAGCATTCACTGGATGTGAATGAGCAGAAACTTGATGTCGTTTGCTTAACGATGGAAAATTGTTGCTGTCCAAAAGACTTGATATCTGTGGCAGCATTTTGAGTTGTGGTTTGGCTCTTGACTTTTCGATTCTTTTGGAATACGAAATGAACGATGGGCACAGTCTATAACTGGCAGCATGATCGCCATTGCAATTAATGCACTTGGCATTTCCATCAACGCTGATTATTGAGGCCTTGTCCTCAACATTTTTGACTATGACTTGTGTTGTAGCCACTGATGAAATTTTAAATGCAGCCTTAACCTGCAAATTGATTTATGAAATTATTTTTCTCACTTCATTAATATTTTGCTGGATGAACAAAGGCTTTTCAGCCTTTGCAGCTGTTACTGGAACTTCAGGTTCCGTGGAGTTTTTTTTTTGTAGAACTTGTTTTCTTTGTTTCTTGAGATTTTGTTTTGATTCACTCGGGATTTCATCAAAGTCCATTTTTGGACTTAAATCCTGCTTCCTTTTGCGTCTCTTCATTCCCAATGGGCAACAGACAGCACCGTGTACTTAAATAAATAGTTTAAACAACTATAAATAACTTGGAAACTATTTAATTAATTAAATGAAATTTTTTCACACGTTTATGCACGAGGGGCTTTGAACTTTTTTTCTTAGAAAGCGGTAAAGGTGAGCACACCTTTACTAGCAAACTTAAGGTTCGAATCCTACAAATTTTCTTGAATATTGTTCAGGTAAAAACTTTCGAATCTTTTTTGGATGTCTCAAAATATTTCATGACCCAAAATTTTATTTTTATTTCACACATGACCACCTTTATTCTATCCATCAATTACAGATCAAATCAAACCACAGATGAAGAATATTATTGTACATTTATTTCTTCAATTAAAATACCTCCTTTCTTCTCCTTTCTTTTTTGATGTTGTGGTTCAGTTGGCATAACAAGTTTCTCACGTGGCTTCGTGTCTTCAGACTTGAATTGATCGAAAATTGTCTTTTCTTCCGGGATGATATTCTTAACTAGTTCTGGAACATGTGACATTTCTGGCATGTCAAGCTTCTCTGATTTTCCTTTTTTGACTTTCTTCTTTTCATCTTTTGCTTTAGACTTGTTTTCTTTTGCTTTGCTGACGTCTTCTGTTGTCTCATCAACCTCCTCAATTTTCATTCGTATTGATTTACGTTGAGGCATTTTGCTCTGTAGCTTAATGATTTCCTGTTGTGCTGTTTGATTCGTGCTATCAATTTGAAGGACTTTGTCAAATGTTTCGTAAGCCTGGATAGTCATTTCCTTACCGAGAAATGCTTGAGCTTTTCTCAGAAGAGCTTTAATGTTGTTTGGCTCAATTTGTAGGCATTCATTTGTGTCAGAGATTACTCGGATGTAATTTTTAAGTATTAGGTCTGAAAAGAAATTTTAGGAATATGATTTCAGGCTAGAAACATAATTCAAAAATAAAACGACAATACTTACAAACCAATGCACGATTATTCAAAGCTGCAGCAGTTTTCTTGACATTAATGCTCTGTGTATATTCCTTAATAGCTTCGTCATAATCTTTAGCTTTATATGCCTCATTCCCGCGTTCCTTAAACTTCAAACTCAATCGATCTTTCTCAAAATCTGTAAGTTCATCGACATCATCCTCAATTACTTCAATTAATTTTGATTTTTCTAAGTTTTTCTTATTGTTCGCTTCGACAAGTTCTCGTTGACGTTCATCATCAAGATCAATTTTCAGAACAGCTGCATCAGCATCAAATTTATCCCATTTAGAATAATCGGTTGAATTGATTCTATCAGAATGTTTATAAGATTTTGATGAGTCAGAAACGACTTTTGGAGTTCTAATTGGCGGTTCATTTTTAATAGACTTTTTTGGTTTAATTTCATTGAGAATCTTGTCTTGCTGCTTCATTTCCGCCATAAAATTCTTCATGTCATTTTGAACTTTCTCTAAATCTTCTTCATCAAGATATTCGGTCTTAATTACAGCTGATTCTTTACGGAATAATTTACTGTTTGGCTTTAGTTCCAATAATCTTTCTTCAGCGCATTTTGTTAAGTCTGGATAGAAGCCTTCTTCACCAGAACGGAGGATTTTCACAATTCTTTCAATAATTTTCGAGTCATTGCAAGATTTGATGTAGGAAAAGTCAAGATACTCAACTGGAATCTCATATCTTTGAAGCAACGTCTTCTTTACAGGTTTATCTTGATTTTCATCAGACATATCGGAAGTAATAAATGCAATTGTCTATATAATTACGTAATTAAGTTTATTTATTCACAAAATAACATGAAAAATTCTAAAATCAATAATAAAAATTATTCTAATCGTTACTAAGGCTACGAAAAAAAGTTTATTTATTTGTAATTTCTCATCAGGTGTAACATTTTGTCATACACAAGCTGGGGTGCATCAATACCCCAAATAAAATCAACATGATTAAAGTTGTCGAATGGAATTTTATAAAAATCAATTGCTGACTGTGTGGGTAAGCTCATGTAAAGCTTCTTAACATCTTGATAGCCTGCAAGCCAATCATTTTGAGCATAAAATAAAGCAACAGGAACTTCAACATTGCTGAGATTGTAATGCGGTGGTTTTTCAGTTCCATATCGTCGCATGTTCTCCTCAAAGCCATAATCGAAATTCTGGAAATTTCCACTCTCTTGAATCTCTTGTGCATAATGAACAACAGTCTTTGTTGACGTTCCAGCAGGTGAATGTGCAAAAATAACTGTTGCTAGTGTCGAATTGTATTGATCTTTATCAAAGCCACAGATGACAAACAGCGTATTCTCACAAATGTACTTTTCTACTTCATTCATTTCACATCCGTACTTACTGAGCCACTTGATGATTTTATTTTGCGGAAGGAATTCATTTTGACCGAAAAATTTCATTATTCTCTGTGGATATTAAAATCTTAATTAATTTAATTTGGATTAAGACTAAGAATAATTTCAATTCACTACAAAGTTGTGCCTTAACATATTCACAGTGCATTTTTCTCCGACACCAAGATTAATTAGAGAATCCTTTTCAATTAAGTCTAATCAAAATGGCGTCAAGACTTACCAAAAAGTTTAATGAAATCTTTTTCAAAAACTCATTTGTCATCCCATCAACTCTACGGTGCCAATTTTCAGGGAATTTTAACTTTTTTACGAGAAAATCAAGCTATGGTTTATGATTTTATAAATGAATACGAAATGTGAAGGATGATTGATAAGAGTTTTGTCATACAATTGCTAGAGATGAAGAGTATTTGTCTAGAATCATGAAAATCGGTCCTTCTGAATTTTGAGTGACCTAATATGGATTTTAGATCAACAATCAAAGTCATAGACCAGCACACGATTTCCAATTACTCAAACATTGTACTTAATATTCGATTGAGAATGTAAACACGATAAAATTCAGTAAATGACATCGTAAGCCTTATAAAATGTTTGTGTACTCAACATAATTTGTTCAAGTGTCTAATCGACAAGCTTAATCTACATTAGTTTACTTTAATCTAGAACAAATCACTCATCATCTCCTAAATCTTATCAATTGCAAAACAAAACCCATTATTGCCACTATTGTCTTTGAGTAATACATTTAAGCTTCTTAAGAATATGAAACAATATCCAAGAATATAAATGTAAAACATAGAGACAATTTTGGTAGAATGGAATCTTGAATGAAAATCTAGAAACACTCAGAAACGTATATCCTTTAAATGCTATTAGCAACATACCTCAATATCCTTTGAGAACGGCGCAAGAAACCGGATTGGAGATTTGACGCTAATTAGAATCAACAATAAAGTAATTCACATGTAAGCAAATACTGATAATGCAATTCCAAAGGTCAGCCAGACTTACAAATTTCTTAATTTTGTTTATCTTCGAGACCTTGAGAATTGTGTTTTGAATAAGTTTTACTTACTGAGTCATAAAAGCGACCGGTGCAAGTGCTATAAACAATTTTATCTTTTCATTATATTCCGGCATCTCACTTAGCATCACAAAAAGTGCTGTAGTTCCCATCGAGTGACCAACATAAATCAAATCATTTTCAGATACAGATTCACCCATTGTTCCTATACATAGAGATGATAAAGAGAGTTTTTAATGTCTGCATCTCACAGAACTGAACTCAACTTACGCTTTCTATGGTCATAAATAAATTGAATTGAGGCTGGAAGATCATAAATGGCCATCTCGTGGAAGCTGAAATTCCAAAACTCTCGATCGTTGTTTGAAAGTGAGATGTGATGTCGTGAATAAGTGTTGCCACGCAAATTTGACAGCCTGAAAGAATTATAATTTTAGTACAACTAATGACTGATTAAGAACTACAAATAAGTCGTAGACAGAATGAATCATAAGAAATTACCACACATCATATCCCAAATCAGCAAGTATGAATCCTATACCCTTTTCTGGTCCACTAATGATCCAGTCAGCAGAACTAGCCAATATTCCATGCTGTAAAAATACAGGTTGACGAATACTTCCATCACAGCCAGCTCGTCCGCAAGGGATTCTATGTAAATTCAATAAATATCCATCTTCAGTTTGTACTGTATGAGTTTCAGCCTGATATCCATGTCTAGTGATAATTTCAGGAGTTGTAAGCTCCGAATCAGGGTTCCATGGCACGTCTGGAAACTTTGGTATCCAATTTAAGGGGTTTAATACTTTCGGTAAGATTCCTGGTGCTGCTGAAGTTGTCTTTTCAGGCTGCCTGCTCTGTGACAGCAAACTAGACAGAACACTCATAACAACATCAGCTGTGTCACTTTTGACATGAACTTGTGTGACTACAAACATGAATGTCGCAAATTTGAGAAATTGTTTCATTTTCGTCGCTCGACGCTTGCTGGCTGTTGCAGGTTTGAGAATGGGAAACGAAAAGAATGAAAAATAAATGTGCTTGGTTAAAAAAAAGTAAAGAGTAGTGAAAAGCAGAAAAGTATAGTGCAAAAAGTATGCCACAACCACTATAGTTGGATGACTTCTCTTAAAATAATAAATAATCCTACATTTTACAGCTGTTCTTTCTCTATTTCTATCTGTCCAACAGTTGCGAAATTCCAGTAAAGAACAAAAGAATCAATTGATGAAATAAAATAATTAATCTTATCTGAATTTATTAAAAAAGTCACTTAAGTCGAGTCTTTATTAAAATTCACTTCCGATTCAGTTGAGAGCTGTTTATAAACTGAGAATTACGCTGTGCTGCTCGTGTTTTGATTTTTCATTTCTTCATAATTCTAAATGCGAATCTCTCAACTACAGTCAAAAGAAACGGGTATGGATGTGGTCAGCTTCTGACTTCTTTGAAGCGCATTTTTATATTCACACCGTTTTCACGTGTGAATCTATTGGTTTTGTTCAGATTGAAAAATCAGTTTTTCGCATTTTGTGAGAAAACAAAGCAAAATTGGTTATAAAAGGTCAAGAAGAAAAGTTTGTGCCTGAAATTTTACATCATTTTCAAAAAAACAGATTTCAAATTGGTTGTGGCATTGCTGAGAAAATCGCAAAATACGCTTTCTGTAAGCAAACAAGCAAGCAAGCAAGTTAATCAGCAAGAAATCTCAATAACGAGACATCGTAGAGACTTCTAGTTTTTTACATTTGATCCGTGCTGCTTTATAGAAGAGCTGTATTGTTTTTGGGCAAGGTAGGAACAGCCGTTGCTTCAGAAAAAGCAAAAAACTTTCCTTTCTTACGAATTTTTCAAATTAAAAGTTGTGATTTTTTTTTAAATTAAACTTTGGATGAAAAAAATTTTTTTGAGCAAAGAACCAAAAAGGAAATACATTTTCAATTTTGGACTAGGGGCTAGGGTTTGTGGAAAACAGCTGTTTTTGAAAAACAGTCTGTTTTCGGTTTTTGATTTTTAAAATCAGCTGTTTTCCTGTTTTTCTTGAATTCAAAATAAACTGAGTTATCCTAAGTGTTTCTCTAAGATAATGAAACTTTTTGGTGGTTATAAGCAGTTAAGCATACATTTTAGAGCTAAGCATTATTATTTCTTATTTTTTTTTATGTTAATTAACTCTAAAAAATATAATGAAATATAAAAATGCAAAAAAAAAATGCAAAAAAATTTATACCTTTAAGTAACATTGCATTGTTGCATTGTAAAAGTTCCATAAGCTCTATTATTTAATTTAAAATATTCAAAAAATCTTTCTGAATAAAAAAATTTCTTGTAAAATTGTTGATTATATTTTTAAACTTTAGTAAATGCTACAAAAGTTTCAACAAATTTAAAATTTCGATTGCAAAATTAATAATGATTAACCATAAATTTGATAATGATTTCAAACCTATTAAACATCCAAAAAATATTAAAATAGTAATACATTTCAATTTGAAATGCTAGAAAAATATATTAAGTTCTTCAAAAAATTAAGAAATTTTTTTTTCTGTAAATTTTATGTAAAAATGAAAAACAGAAAACAGATCTGTTTTTGAGACCTGTTTTCTGTTAACAGATTTTTGTCGAAAAACAGCTGTTTTTCTGTTTTCCGTTAACAGATTCCCCAAACCACTATGGGGCAAAATGAAAAAAAAAGGGACTTTCACTTTGAAAAATGGACTTTTCCGATTTACACTTTTTGGGTGATTTTTTCTTGTAGAGGACATAAAAGTAGATAGAAATGCCAAATTTCAGGTCATTTGGTGCTGATTTCGCGATTCTAGAGCTGTTTGAAGTTGAAAACTAGTGAAAATTCTGGTTTTTTCATACCATGTTTGAACCGGGAAATATCTTAACTGGTTTAAGATATTGCAAAACGGTTTTCAGTTCCTATTAGTAGTATATAAGAGCTTTATTTTGACATATAACAAAGTTTAGGTTCTGAATGTTTTCGTGCCATTATGGTAGAACATATGTGAAAATTTCAGGAAAATTATCTTCAAACAAGCCGCAACTATCATAAATGAAGAGTTTCCAGGCAAGTAAAAACGCAGTTTTGTAGCCCCATATATCTAGTTTTCAAAACTGTATAAACTTTGAAAAAGTAAGCTAACGTAATTGAGTTATGTTGATTTTAGTAGGTCGTTGAGTATTTGGCCAAAAACTAATAATTCTTTTAAAAATACGAAAACATAGTTTTAAAAATAGTTTTTTGGTGTTTTCTTATGAAAAATAACAATTTAAATGATTTTGTGAAGAAAATTTTTCAAAAACTTCAAAATCTTTCGAGATATAGGGGGTATGTGCTCTCCATCGATTTGGCCATTTGTCACCCTACTTAAACCACTATAACTTTTTTTTGAAAAAATATTTTTTAATTCTGTTTTCGGATTATTGTAGCCTAATGTAATACCTATCCAACGATATATAATACTTGCTAGTTAACTTAGTCCTGGTTATTTATAGGGCTGTTGATTGTGACATACGCAGTTTTTGAAAAATTCCCAAAAATTGCATTTTCAAAAATACCACTTTTAAGCAATCTCGAGTATTTTTTGGACTTTTTTAAGAAATGTTAAGTCTGAAAAAAGCTATTATCATTAGAGTAATAAAAAAAATACTCTGATACGCAACTATAATAGGTAAAATTAATAAAGTTTAATTTTTAGTTTAATGAAATTTTGTTTATTTGTCAAGAAATTTAATTTACATTTTTTTATCATATTTAATGAAATTTATTTATTCATTCGTTGTTTGCTTCTTCAGAATATTCATGGTCTTGTCCTTCGGAATAATCATAGTTTTCTGCTTGGGAAAAGTCATAACCTTCTCCTTCTGGCTCAATCAATTCAATTTCTTCCTCATTTTCTGTTTGTTGCTCAGGTGTTTCACCTTCTTCTTGGACATTTTTTCTCATTAACCTTTTATTTATTACATCCATATATTTTTTTATTATTACTGGATCAGAACTGTAGAGTCTTCTATGTATAACATCCGTAAAACTGTGTATTCTTGAAGTTTTTCTGGCACGTAGTTCTCTATCTTGTCTGAGATATTTGTTTTGTGACTCCCCGGCTTCTTCACTCATTCTTCCTAGAGGTAATGGTAAGGCTTCCATGTAGTGTTTTGCATGAGCAAGTGCTCTGTGAAGTGTTACTGGTATTTTGAACCAACTATATGTTGTCAAAAACATTCTGTATGTTTCTTTACAGTACCTATCAAATTCATCTAGATCATCAACTGGTTCTAAACTTCGAATTTGGTTTAGCACATAGCATATACGTTTAATTATTTCTTCATTAAGATATAGAGTTTTAGCTAGAAGCTCTGGATTTTCAAGAACTTTTCTTGCAACGTTTCCTGTATCTGATGATCCAGCTCCCCCTTGTCTTGGTTCGAGTACACGAACATTAAATGCATCCCACATTGCTTGCTTTATTCTAGCCTTTTCAACATCTAAAACAATCTGTTCCTCTTCAGTTATCTCCAGCCAGTGTTTTTGAACATATTGTTTATATGACAAATCATATAGAGTCGTGAGTACGTTCATTGATGTATGAAGTGGCTGAGTGTTGAAATACAAGTGTTCTTTAACAAATTTTCTGTGTGTTTTTTCGAATCTTCCATTATCAAGATTATTTATGTCACTCATCTCGTTTGGTCCAGATCTACAAAGCTGACATCTGCAATATCCTGATGTTTCTGTAAGGTCTGTGTAAACTTTTCCATCTAACATTGTGGGGTAGAATTTGTACGTAATTTCCAAAAGCATGTCTTCACATATGAATCTCTGTGGTTCAAGTTTTGATATTTGATTTTTTATATCTTCATATATCCTTCTAACATTTACTCTGGTTTCTTTGGCATGTTCAAGTTGTATTGGTCGTACTGAGTATACAGATTGACTGTTTTCGTTGTCCCATAAGCAGATATAATTTCCGTTTTCGTCTTCATGTCGTAGTTGCTGAACACTCATACTAACTGTCAATAGTGATTTGTCTTCTATAATTTCATTATTAGTCGTTTGATTCGGTTGTGTTCTATCTCGTTCTTGATTTCTTGAATTTGTTTTTCCTTGGTTATACTGTGACTGTCCTGTTGTTCCGTCCATCCCCCATGTGACGATCATTTCTGCATGAATAACTTTTGGAGTTGATTCTGAAGGTAATATTTTGATTTTGTCGTATATTTCTGAATTGTGTGCTTCAATAACTCTTTTTGTGGTGAGTTGTGTCAAATTTTTTAGTGGAATAACGGCTCTTGTATCGGTGACCGTTATGTCATCAGGATAGCATTGTTTCTCTAACCTCAACAATTTTTTAGCTGTCGGTAAAACGTTTTCGCATTCCAGTTTCAGGACTTGTCGAATATTGTTGTACTGATTTCGAGATAAATTGTTAAAGGCTTTTACACCTAGAGCTACATGTATATCTAGTTGTTTAGGTTTTGATGTAGTTTTTTCTGGAAGATCCTCTCCTTTTTGGCACGCCTTAATAAATTCTTTTAACATTTTAGCTCCTTCTACTTTTCCTTCTTCTTTAGAAAGGCGAAGTGCCAAGTGAAGAACTGATAACAATGATCCTTTTGCTTCTTTTAAACTGATATCTAATTCGTCCACTCTTCTACGTCGATGCTTATCGCTTGTTAGTTGTTCAAATGATTTCCTCTTGATGCCCTTGCTGGATGAAGGCTCTATGTCATGGACGATGTATTCAATCTCATCCATATCTTCATCTGTGTCAGTAACATTTTCTGCTTCATATATAGATTCTTCCTCAAAAAGAATCCCTCCACTAGATTCGCTGAAGTATCGTGAGTCAACTTCAAATTCCTCTTCATAGAAATCTGCATGATCTCTTAATGCATTATTCCAATTTGACTGATTACAAAACATTTTTGACTTTGACTTCAGCTTGTTTAATTTATTAATTAAACTTGGTTTCTGTGATTCCGCTAATTCTCTCCCATGAATTTCTTCTATTACTGCCAAACAGTACGTGTGCTGTGTTGCAAGATTTAACGTTTTGTCGCGAAGAATTTCACAGAGTGTTTTCTTCGTAAGTGTTGAATTTTGGTTCATTTTTGAAAGTGACTTGTTCAATGAAGTTCAAAACTGATATGATGTGTAGAGAGAATTTCACGAGTATATATATAAAATAGTTTCAAAACTGAGATTTTCACACCTGATAGTGACTACCAAGGGTACTTTACAAAGTTGTTAACTAGGGAAGTAAAAAGTTTCTAAATTTAATTTTTTGGCTTTATAATCTCATAAATGTCATAAATAAACATAAAAAAGTTCTAAAAAAATACTCGAGATTGCTTAAAAGTGGTATTTTTGAAAATGCAATTTTTGGGAATATTTCAAAAACTGCGTATGTCACAATCAACAGCCCTATAAATAACCAGGACTAAGTTAACTAGCAAGTATTATATATCGTTGGATAGGTATTACATTAGGCTACAATAATCCGAAAACAGAATTAAAAAATATTTTTTCAAAAAAAAGTTATAGTGGTTTAAGTAGGGTGACAAATGGCCAAATCGATGGAGAGCACATACCCCCTATATCTCGAAAGATTTTGAAGTTTTTGAAAAATTTTCTTCACAAAATCATTTAAATTGTTATTTTTCATAAGAAAACACCAAAAAACTATTTTTAAAACTATGTTTTCGTATTTTTAAAAGAATTATTAGTTTTTGGCCAAATACTCAACGACCTACTAAAATCAACATAACTCAATTACGTTAGCTTACTTTTTCAAAGTTTATACAGTTTTGAAAACTAGATATATGGGGCTACAAAACTGCGTTTTTACTTGCCTGGAAACTCTTCATTTATGATAGTTGCGGCTTGTTTGAAGATAATTTTCCTGAAATTTTCACATATGTTCTACCATAATGGCACGAAAACATTCAGAACCTAAACTTTGTTATATGTCAAAATAAAGCTCTTATATACTACTAATAGGAACTGAAAACCGTTTTGCAATATCTTAAACCAGTTAAGATATTTCCCGGTTCAAACATGGTATGAAAAAACCAGAATTTTCACTAGTTTTCAACTTCAAACAGCTCTAGAATCGCGAAATCAGCACCAAATGACCTGAAATTTGGCATTTCTATCTACTTTTATGTCCTCTACAAGAAAAAATCACCCAAAAAGTGTAAATCGGAAAAGTCCATTTTTCAAAGTGAAAGTCCCTTTTTTTTTCATTTTGCCCCATAGTGCAAACCCTACTAGGGGCGACCCTAGTCAAAATCAATTTTGTCACTTTTTTCTTCGAGGGTTTATCCAAATGGATTGAAACTTTGAATAAATATTTAAGTGTTTAAAACAAAAAAAAATAAAACATCCTAAAATTTTTTTGAGCAAAGAACCAAGAAGGAAATACATTTTCAATTTTGGACTAGGGGCGACCCTAGTCAAAATCAATTTTGTCACTTTTTTCTTCGAGGGTTTATCCAAATGGATTGAAACTTTGCATAAATATTCTAGTGCTTAAAACAAATACAAATAAAACATCCTAAAATTTTTTTGAGCAAAGAACCAAGTAGGAAATACATTTTCAATTTTGGACTAGGGACGACCCTAGTCAAAATCAATTTTGTCACTTTTTTCTTCGAGGGTTTATCCAAATGGATTGAAACTTTGCATAAATATTCTAGTGCTTAAAACAAATACAAATAAAACATCCTTAAAATTTTTTTGAGCAAAGAACCAAGAAGGAAATACATTTTCAATTTTGGACTAGGGGCGACCCTATTCAAAATCAATTTTGTCACTTTTTTCTTCGAGGGTTTATCCAAATGGATTGAAACTTTGCTATATATTTATCAGCCGATTTTTTTCCTTGTTTGAGATTTGAACTCATGACTTTATGAAAAAAAAATTAACCGATATTTTAATAGTTCTTAACATTCTTAACTGCTTCATTGAGTTTCTCACCATAACTGATATTATTGATCAGTCGTTGCTCATTAATCTCTTCTTGAAATGTTGCTGATAAGTTAATTTCAGCATTCACTGAATGTGAATGAGCAGAAACTTGGTGTCGTTTGCTTTACGATCGAAAATTGTTACTGTCCAAAAGACTAGGCATAGTAGAGAGTAGTTCGCCTAAATTGATTTGGACCGTGAACTTCCGTGCACTTCACACAACGGAACTTGTATCCACAATTTTGAGATGATTGACCCCAACGTTGGCAGTTGAAGCACTGCGTTGGGCTTTTGTTGCTCTTCTTGATGTTCTACCACTTAACAATGATGTTGTCGATGTTTCGGTGATTATGATTAAGCACGTTGATGTTCACACTTTCATCTTTAAAAAAGGGAAAATATAAAAGGTGAACTCGGGCTTCTAAACGTAAATTGTCACTTTGACAGCTGAAATCATTCCTTTTTGAAGCAATCTTAGCACTTCATTCGTTAGAGCTTTGTAAAATCCTCAAGAAAATCTCTAAGATTTTTAATTTGTGCTACTTTGTCATGCTACTCACTTCCTCTGTCCTTCCTTTAACAACTTATTTTCAAATGTGCCATCTGTTAAAGCTTTAGACCGACAGACAACCCTACAAAGTGAACATAGCACCAACTCACCTTTATAAAAATGCTCAAAAAATGAAGTAATAAAATTAAAAGAGTTAAAAGCAGCCTAAATAAATTACATTGTGAATGAGCGAGAGCGGACTGTTGACTCTTTTTTTTCTATAGCACAGTCATTATTGAGAAGACGAAAGAGAAAATAGAATGATAATGAAAAGAAATTATGGATGTGGTGTATAAGAACGTTAACGGATTCTGAGCAAATGAGTAAGCTTAAAGGTCTTATTCACTTTACTCTACTTACTAATAGTGAGAATTATGCAAATATGTGTGAATGTATTCATTTATGAGCATATGAAAATGTTTCGTCCAACAGCTGATTTGTGCATTTATGCATTTAGTGTGTATACTAGGCTGTTGATGCTCTTATATCTCACATATAAAGGCAAAATATGCTGCAAATAACTGTAATTTAATTTTGCCGGTGCACATGATGCTATTGACTGTGCTTCATTGAATAATTAAAACTTCTTAGCTTATATTGTAGCTGTTTTTTGTCGTTGTCTTTATTTTTTTTGTGGTGCGTCATCTTAATTTTGTTATCTGAGCTGTGTCACAAATAAACACATTCATAGTCCATTATATATTAGTCATATAAATATTAAATGAAGTCACATTTTGGAATTAATCAAAACAAGAAGGGCAAATTATATTGATAGTGCAAGAAAGTCATATTTATGATGATTAAGCGTTGTATCATGTTACAAAATGTACCATGCTGCTCAAATTTATTTAAAAACCGTTACGCACGTGGAGGATTCAATTTCAAATAAAACCAACGGTTGATAAAAATTCAAAATTGTAAACAAAACAGAGCAATTGTGCGCGAAATAAGTGTAAAATTAGCATTTTCAAGCTTTAGACTTAATTATAGACATTTAAGAAGTTTTAAACAATGGATAACAGTGTAACATCAAGAATCTCGTTCGTAAGATCAAAATTAAGTAGTGACATTAAGGCAAAAGTTCAGGAAGATTGGTTAAAAGAATGTGTTTCATATTTTGTTCAATCAGAACCAGGAATTACCAATAATCAGCTATATGAGAATGTTAAGGATCAATTCTGTCTGGCAAACTTGTCAGATACATCGCATAAAGTCATTCCTGATATGTTTGTAACCAAAAAGGATCAATGGACATTAAAGGAATCTTTATTGCTTCAAATGCAGTATATTCTGGATATTTGTAAGTATTTGATCTTTTTTATCTAGCTTATTTAGATAACGTTTTGTGTTATCTCTCAGCTGAACCATTCTACGACCAATGGAGACGCATGCATGACAAGCAACTCGATGAAGTTATTGAAGATAAGCGAGAAACTAAGTCATTCCAGTCAAAGAAGAAGAGAATGTTTAAGTTACAGCTTACTGATGGAACTAAGACTGTCCCAGCAATGGAAATGAAACACATCTCATGTCTTAATTCAAAACTAACGCCTGGAATTAAAATTTTAATTATCGGTCCTGTTCCAGTCGTTAATCAAGTAATTATGATTAAGGCTGAAAATGTTAAAATTATTGGTGGCGAAGTAGAGGAACTGATCACAGTCAATGCATATGAAAATGTCCTTCTTCGACTCCTTAATAAGCCAACCACAAAGACTCCAATTTTAAATTATTCAGAACAAACTTTAGAGAATGAAAAACCATCTCAAAATGTTCCTAAAAATTTAACTGAAATAGATGAAAAGAACCAGATCCAACAGAAGCCAAGTAAGCCACAAAATTATGTTGATGATATTGAAGATGATGACTTTGATTTTGCTATGATTGATGCAATTGAGGAACAAGAGAGACGAAAATCACAAGAAAATCAGCTAAACAATTCAGTCTTAATGATTGACGACGATGATGACTACATGCTTGCACAAATTGACTTAGATGAGATCCAACAGCCAAATATTGTCCACAAAATGGAATCGATTAATGTAAATGGAGCTAAAAATGTCGTTAAAGCAAATGATTTGTTAAGGCCATCAATAAACTTAATATATGATGATGACGACATGCTTGATAATGAATTAAATAATATTCGCAAAAGAAAATCAATTGACTCACCTGAAAGCAGCAATAAAGTCATAAAATCAATTCGATTATCGCCAATCAAAAAGCCCGAAATTACTGATAACGATTATCCATTTAAAGTCGATGAAATGTATAATTTTATAACAATTGATCAGTATGTAGGTATGAAGATGCGTCACAAAATGGAACGTGAATATGCCCTCGAAGTGAGCGTCGATAAAATTCTTAAAATTAAGGCTGAATTGGATTGGCTCTTAATTGTGCAAATAAAAGACTTATTTTCACAAAACACAATATCAGCAAGAATTGCTGGTCCAGTTGTAACGGAATTGACAGGCAGAACAACACGAGAAATTCATTTAATGAGGATAAAAATGGAAAGAGGACAGCCTCAATTAGCGATGGATATAAAAAATACTTTAACATCTCTTAATGATGCCTTTCAAGATAAGACAATTCTTGTGTGCATGCAAATGAAGGCGAATCTGCCGGCAGAATATGAGAATGTAATTACGAAAATTTTGAAGAAAACAGACCAGAATAATCAAATTATGACACTAAAGATTGAACAGGATTTTGGATAAAAATTTAAATTAAGATTTTCTACGTTAATTAAGCTGTGATAAAAAGTTAAAATAGAAAAGTTATAAATGTGAAGATTCCAAAAATAAAGAACATTTTATTCTTTTTAAAAATTTAATTTTGTATTTTTAGCTGCATTGAGAATTGAACTTGGGTTGATTGAATATTTTTTGTGCTTCTGAATAATTTTTGGGTACACAAATATATTGGCGCACTATGCACGTAAAACTAAAGTAATTTATTGTAAAATTTATTTCGTTCCTATAGTGCGCACATTATACAAATCTCGCAACCCAAGTTAATACGCGCATTATCTTTAAATTTTATGTGCGCGTTATACACGCAAGATCAATTCCCAATTCTTAACATTATAAGCTTAAACAATCTACATTCAAAATTTCAGGCATTGATATATAGTCAAAAAGACAAGGTATTTTGTTGACAGTTTCGAATTATAAAAATATTAATTAACGTAAAAAAGAACTTTAAAAGTCAAAATCGTATTGCATTATTTATGAACTAAGTTCATTGTTGATTCTATTCAGCATTTTATCTTTTCGTTCAACTGGTCTTGATCGAAAACCTTTCGACACAAGCTGTACAATATCAGATGTATCCTTTCCGCGTGTCTCTGGCATATAAACTTTGAGCAAAAGTGTCAATAAGAAGCAAACGACTCCAAAAATGACAAAAACAGCAGCACCCATCCATATTCGTAAAGATGTAAAAGTCATTCCAATTACAAAATTGCATATCCACGATGATAAACTTCCTAAAGCCATTGCTGACGATCTTTCAGCAGTTTCAAACAACTCTACTCCAATGAAGTAAGGAACGGGACCTAAACCAATTTGATAAAGCAGGATGTAGCCGAGAAGAGCAACAACACACATCACTGGGAATGATGAAAAGGATTCCTAAAAATTATGCATTAAAATAGCGATCAAAAAATATTTCAAATTAAGCTCAGTGACTTACACTATATCCATAAAAGATGCTAAGCAGGAACAAAAATACACCACATCCGAAACATGACAACATAATTAATGGACGACGATTAACTCTAGCCATCAAAACAGGACTAAAGAAGCTGACAAACAAATTGAGACATCCAGCTCCTAAATTGGCCCATTCTGCATTCGATTTCGAGAATCCAATAGACTCAAAAATTGAGACTGAGTAGTAAAATACCTGAATAATAAAAATAATAAAGTAAACTGTAAGTGATCATAAAACATCCTTACGGCATTAATTCCAGATAACTGTTGACCACCTTGTAATGCGCAGACTAAAACAAGTGGCAGTAATAATTTTGGATCTTTAAGTACATCAAGAACACCTTTTTGGTTACTTCCATCGTCTTCTTCAGTATTGTCAGTCAACATTTCCATTGAATTTAATTCATCTTCAGCCATTTCTGTATTGTCACATAATTTCTTTAATTCTCGCAAGGCACCGCTTCTATCTCCAATAAGGCACAAATATTTAGGACTTTCAGGAAATATTGGATATGCTAAAGTGCATAAAATGACGAAAATTATTTGGAAGCTCATACAATAATGCCAAAGATCTGGAGTTCCTAATAGTTCCTGTAAACTGACAACTTGTCCAACAACAACACCGCCTGTAAAGCCCATAGAACAAAACACCCCCAAAGTTCCTCTCAAATGAAATGGTGCAATTTCTGAAAGATACATAGGCAGGCATGTCATTGTCATACCAGCTCCAAGTCCAACTAACATTCGTCCAAGAATTAAGAGCTCAACAGATGAAAGCAATCGACAGATGTGAAAACAGACTGAGCCGATGACGAATAGTGTTGCACATGTTAGGTACGATCGTTTTCTAAGAGTTTGAAATAATTCAGTTACAGAGTGTGTTTTAAAAGATTCAAAAAGCTGTCAAAATATTTTCAAAATATAACGGTAAAAATTATTTTGAAAATGATGATCCAATTTTTATAGGAAAATACGAATTGTTTTTATAGGAACTCACCTGCCAATGCGATTAGCTACAACAGAACCACCAAGACTTCCACAAGCACCCCCCACAAGAAATATGGATACGATAAAAGCCCAAAGTAAATCCACCCCACCTGACGATAGCTGAATTCCATATTTTGTATATAATGTGTCACTCGCCCATTCCTTCATGTAGGATGATGGAGCATTAATAACTCCAATATTGTATCCACCGACATTCGCTGAACCTAATGTCGTTGCTAAACCCGTTATAAATAAGGCTTTGTTCCATCCGCGAGTCTGAAATGATACAATAAATCAACAATGAGATGTCATGCCTGATTATTTTGACGTGATTAAGCTATAAATATACTTTCTACAAACTTAATATTTTTCAATTATGATGATAAGATTTGTCAGTATTAAATCTCATTTCACGGGTCAGTACTAAAGGCACTATTATCAAAGCAATTATGTATAAAGGCATGAGACATGTCATAGAAATTGAAATGCCGTAAAGATTCTAGTTGACGTCAAAAAAATAATATTTTTGATAAGCCACAGAATGAATGCACTAATTTTTGGCATATGATCAATGAAAACAAGTATTTCCGATATTTTTAAATGCTTGTAAATTATAATTAATTACTGCTTATTAGACATGAAGTAATTAACTCATACAAAGCAGTTCTTTATGGCTTAAATCACTTTAATTATTCGGCAAACAAAGAATCTGCTTATTAAATTCCATGACTAATCTTTGTTCTTACTCGTTTGTGCAATGTATTCCTATACGGTGATTTGTCATCCTTTAAAGCACTTCCATATTCTTCATTGTCTTGGTCCATTTTAATTGATATTCTCAGACTTGTATCACTCTCAACGCGTATCACTTTCACTTCTACAAGCAATTAATTTGTGACTCCTTGTAGATTGAATTAGAGTCAACAAATCAGAATGTTCGTGATGCTGCTTCTACTGGATGTTTTTAATCCTGGATCTTTTTGATGAATTTGTATCGAAATTAATTTAATGATATGAATTGAAGGATAAATGTCTGGTTTACATACCTTATTGCTTTACTGTGATTTGAAAATTGTGTGGAACTGCTTAAATATAGAATTTTGTAATCCTAAAGTAAATATTTACAGACATAAACAAACTCTTCGTCAGCAATAAATCTTAATGGAAAATTATCAATGAAAATGGCCTTAATTGAAAGATTCCACAATTTACCACTATACTTAAACTGTTTGAAGTTCTGTAAACTTGAAAATTGTGGTTAATTAATCATAATTCATCATTGTTGATCTAGTCATCAACGGAAAAATAAAATTCAAATTTCAAAATAATTGATCACAACTATAAATGTGCGGTAACATTTTAAATCGTGAAAAACAACTTTAAAACTGAAAAACATCAACTGGAGGTGAAGTAAAGGTAAGCTGGAATTCTATTGATTGTAGCTCGATAGTTAAAGTTATCAGTTTCTATCGATTTAGCCATTTTTTCAGTAGTTTCCATATTGAGTGTATTCAGTGACAACCAGTGCATTTAGAAAAATATTTTTCAAATTTATTTCGACCGTTATTTTTTAAAATTTTAAAATGTTAAAAGATAAAAAATCTCAACTTTTTTAACATTCTATCCCACACCAGAAATCGCTAGTCACAGTCCCTCTATTTTTATTATTCGTGTCTATTTTTTTAGAGATTTAGAAAATTTCCTTTTTGGAAAATTGTTTTAAAATGTTTTTATACTTTCATGATCCAGAGAATTTAAAGAACTTTTTAGGATATTGTGCAACAGTTACGACAGTAGTTCAATTTTTGACTGGCTCATTGATATGTAGAAATTATATTAAAAAGAAAAGTACTGGGGAGGTGAGGAAATTGACATTTTAGGCCACAAATTGACTTTTAATCGTCTGTACTTTTAGACGAGTGCATTACCATTTGTATCAGGACTTCTATCATGCTCATTATGGCTCCGTTATGGATTCCTCATTAATGAAAATTCATTAATACTCGTTAATTCAATTGGAGCATTTTTATTTGCCTTATATTGCATTACATATTTTATGTTTACTGTAAATAAGAGACGATTCTTACATCAAATCGCACTAGTGCTGTTAATGATTACATTTTCAATTGTATATAGTCGTGTTGAATTAGATGATATGAAGGCATCAAAATTAATTGGTGAGTTGTGCAAGCTTACTTTTATCGTGCTTCGTTGAGCCACGAAAAACTTTTATAACCAGACGTTGGCATTGAAAATCGTGTTGGTAGAGTTTTTTGGAGCATTTTTGCGACTGAGACGCTTTTTTCGGGAGATGAAGTTATAAAACTAAAGTTTTTAAATTTTTAACTTCTTTATAAAATTTAAATATTATCGGTTTTGTAAAATTCAAATTTTAACGATTTTGTAAAATTTAAATTCAAGCTTTCCGTTAAAAAATTCTTAAAATTAGCTCTAAGTCAAAGTGCTTCAACTCCGCAAAGCAGATCAGCTATTTTTGAGAAAATAAGCTTACTTTTATAATAATTTGTGGATTAAGCAAATATTGAGACAACGAGTTTTACTTCCTTAATATAACATTGATGCCAGCGATATCAAGACTTTTTTTTTTATCCAGTAGAACAAAAACGATGATTAATGACTTTATTTGTAGGCTTGCTGTGTTGTTCCGTAGGAGTATTCTTCTTTGCATCACCACTTATTAAGTTAAGACATGTCGTAATGACAAAAAATACTGAAGTGCTTCCTTTCCCGATAATTCTGACGAGTTTCTTTGTGACTCTTCAATGGTACATCTATGGCTACCTGCTAGGTGATTCCTTTATCCAAATACCAAATTTTTTGGGATGTATTCTATCAGCGATTCAACTTACTCTATTTGTGATATATCCAAGTAAAAGTGATATCAGATATAAACCATTAAGTTCGATTGACTTTTAGAGATCATGGATGGATGATATTTTTGTAAAAGAGTTTATATTAGAATATAAAAAGTTCAAATGTAAGATTAAATCGGAAATTAAGAATTTATTTAAATTTTTTTCTTCATAGATTTGTTAAAAATTTCCATAATGCCGTCCGTGCACGGAAACCGTTCTTGTTTCTATCATTTCAAAAGGCACTTAAGCAATAATTTTTAATTAATTTATAAAGTCAGCAGTCAATAAATAAATACGTCAAGTTTATGAAGAAATTTTTACATTTAACATTGATTTTTTTTGGGATTCGAGACGTAAAACTGTGCATAAGCTTGAGTTATTAGATTATTATACTTTGTTTCCCCAACAATTATTACAATAAATAAAATTTAAAATATTTACGATGAAAAAATCCTTTCTAAAAATAGATGCTTTATAGATTTTTGATGGGGGATAAAATCCCCGAAAGATATTAATTCCACGATCCTGCGGGACAATAACCCCGAAAATCACAAATTTTAAATGTTCCCTGCGGGATAATATTCCCACTTAGAAATACACGTGGGATTATTATCCTTCCGGGAAGATAATAATCCCACTTACATTTCTAAGTGGGATTTTTATCTTTATGGAGCACGATTAAAATTATGGATTAAATTAAATCCAAAAAATTATTTGTCATAGTGGATAATAATTCCACTTGTATTAATAAGTGAATTTATTATCTAATAGGATTTTCATCCAAAAAAATCCCACTTATTAATTTGTCAGTTTCATTATTCCAAAAACTTCAATAAGAAGAAAACATAAATATTGGTTGAATATTTGCTTTTTAAAAATATATTATTCCAAATTGTTTAAAAAATAAAATCAAGGTGGGTTCAACTGATCTAAAGATGTTAGCTATTCCATATAAAATTATGTTCGAGATTCGCTCGAATGTTTAAAGAAAATGTAGCTTTAATTCCATTTTGTTTCGCTTCATTCATTCGACTGTTTAAAAATCACAGTTTTGTTCAAATGTTTAGGAGTAGATATGTTATTTGAAATTCGGAGTCGAATCATCCATTTTCGATTCTCTCCTGAAATTTTCCAAAAGTCTTTCAAATAATTGTAAATTGCCCTTAACAAAATTAGATTTATAAATCTAATCATAATATTTGTTTACACATTTTGCTGAGAAAAATGTAAAGATTTAAACATAAAAAGAACGCAAAATTAAAATTTTGCTGCTCAAATTCTTATTAAATTAACTAGAATTTTAAAATGGTGGCAGTTCTGATGCTGTTTAACCGTGTCTACAAGCCCCAAGAAGGTTTCTAATGGTTTTAGACCATTTAAAAGATTTGATTGTTTATAATCTCAAAATTTCGAAGTTATTCTGATTATTCAGGTATACAGGGTTACTTAAACAAACTGATGGCCACAAATTTATTGAAAATGTTCAGCAAATAATTAAAGTGATTCGTACAAAATTCAAACGTAATATTTTGTAAGTTCTTTCAAACTTGAGCTCTTTTGAAGAAAAGCTTAAAATAAAACCTGTCAGAAAAAAATTTTATAGCCTGAATTAGATTTTATATTCACACCGTATTCACTTTATTTTTGTTCAGCTTGAAAAACAGTTTTCGCATTTTGAGGAAAAAAAGCAAATGGGCAAAAACAGAATTTAAATTGTCAGTAGCATTGATGGGGAAATCACATAATACGTAAGGGGCCATTCACTTATTACGTAACGCTTTTAGGGGGAGGGGGGGGGTCTAAGATTTTGTTACGGTTCAAACAAGGAAATTTTTTTTTCATACAAATTTTGTTACGAGGGGGGGGGGGGGGGTCTAAGAAGTCATTTTTTCGCGTTACGTAATAAGTGAACAGCCCCTAAGCAAACAAGCATCAAGACAAGTAAATCAGCAAAAATCTCAAAAACGAGGCATCTCAGAGACTTCTAATTCTTGCCTTTGATCCTGCTGCGTTTAAAAAGATAAGGCTTTATTTTTTTATTGGGTAAGGTAGAAACAGCCATTGCTTCCAAAAAAGCAAAAAACCCTGATCACGTGAACTCAAATTTTGCCAATGACAAAAATGATATAAACGTGATTTATTAGTTTCGCACGTTTTATATTTTGAAAGACTTCATTTCAAAACTATTGCAAAAACAAAAAATTGCGAATTTTGAGTGAATATGATTTCTTGAGTGAATAGATCTTTGATACATTAAGCATCTAGGCTCTAGGCTTTTAAAAAAAATAAACAAGAGGCATTAAAAAACCAAGTTTTCAACTTAAACATTCAACCAATATTTGTTTTCTTCTTATTGAAGTTTTTGGAATAATGAAACTTAAAAATTAATAAGTGGGATTTTTTTGGATGAAAATCCTATTAGATAATAAATCCACTTATTAATACAAGTGGAATTATTATCCACTATGACAATTTTTTGGATTTAATTTAATCCATAATTTTAATCGTGCTCCATAAAGATAAAAATCCCACTTAGAAATGTAAGTGAAATTATTATCTACCTGGGAGATAATAATCCCACTTGTAATTATAGGTGGGATTATTACTTCCCGGAAGGATAATAATTCCACGTGTATTTCTAAGTGGGAATATTATCTCGCAGGGAACATTTAAAAATTTGCGATTTTCGGGGTTATTATCCCGCAGGATCGTGGAATTAATATCTTTCGGGGATTTTACCCCCCATCCTTTAAAATTCGTGAGTTTCGATGATAATAAGATTTTTCAGCTATCTGATTTAATTTAAATTGTAATTTAATAGAATTTCATATCGATAATCATTTAATTCCTTTCTGGTTTCACGTCAAAACCTTACAATTGTCATGAAATGTTTTAAAACCTTACACATGTTATCCAAACTCAACCGAAAACCATTCAAATGTTTCACAATCTCTTCAAAACCATTCAAATGCTTATCAAAACCTTACAACAGCTCTTTTTTAAAACCATACAAATTAACTTTTCTTTAATGGCTCAAATGTTCAATACTTTTTCAAAACCATACAAATTCAAATATTTTTTCAGTCCCTTGAATTGGTTCAATTAAAACTAATATCCTCAAAATTTAATTACTTTCCTAAAATTTTGGACCGTTTTTAAAAGATTTTTACAAGAAATTCCAAAGATATATTTATTTAATACATTTTCGAAGCTATTTTCAGCATATTCTCAAAATTAAAGACTCGAAACTCGCATAATATGGTCGTCAGATCTTAATTTTTCTTTCCTGTCCACGCAAAAACAATTCTATTAAAGAGAGCCTTCAATCAACTTCATTGTCTGTTTGATATCAAGACATAAAAAGTGATAATAAGGGTGGTGCTTGCTGTTGATTCTAACAGCTGCAATTTCCATTCGAAATCGATTTACTTTGACCTAATTTTATTCCATCTTGATTCTCGTCATCTATGCAACTTTGGCGGTTCTAAAAATAGAATAAGGTCCTTGAATATTTTATATGAAGTAATAAAAAATAGACTTACCATCAGTTCCTCAGCAATACGCGTAAATGCGCCTTCAATATTTGTGTTCTCTTTGGCAGACGTTTCCAAATAAAATAAAACTTCTGGTACAATATTGCAGACATCTTCAGCCTCTTCAATCGTCACTTCCCTTCCCTCAACGAGATCACATTTGTTGCCAATCAGAGCACATACGACATTACTGGCTGTATAATTTCGTATTTCATTTAGCCATTTCTGAAGTGATAAGAATGTGTTTCGTTTTGTGATATCGTAGACTATTATCACTCCATGAGCACTCCTTAATTTGTTTATTCATCGAAAGTCAGTAGTGGAAGACAAAGGAAATAATGGGAGATAATTAGTCATTTTTCGCAACTATAACATAAGAATTTTGATTTTTTTTACCTGTAATAACTCGATGTTATCGATCGAAACCGCTCATGTCCCGCAGTGTCCTTTAAGAAGATACTTAAATTAACCATTTGGTGCTTTAAAAAGTGCTTAAATTTTAACGTTTTTTTTGGAATTCAAAAATTTAACGGCTTTTAGAAATTTAAAAGGGTTCAAAAATTACAATTTTAAGAAAATCAAGATTCTAGCTTAATTAAGCCGTTATAGGGCAAATAATATCTTTTAGAGCACTTAATCGACGGCTACTAATACTATTTCATAAGTTCGGTCCATCAAAAAACTATATTTTACAAGAAATGGAAAAGATCCAGCAATCATAAAAATAGGAGAAGTTCCAGCTTAATTAAACAATTTTAGAACTACCAGAATAAACTAAAGCACTTAATATACATCTGCAAACAATTATACATAGATCACGTCACTCAAAATGATTATTTCATAAGATAAACTCTTGACATCCAGTAAACTCCAAAAACAAAGATAATTTTTTGAATCTTACCCAAATCTGTAGCTTAATTCTCTTATTTCCAATTTTGATGTTCTTCATTGAGAAATCCACACCAATCGTGTTTGTGTGTCGTTCGGTAAAGACATTTCCTGTTTTAAATCTTGTTACAATGCTGTAGGACAACAAAAAGCTATAATTTACTGCACGAATATGGAAACAATATTTTCCAATTCTTACCAGCTTTTTCCAACGCTTACATCACCAATTAAGACTATTTTAAACAGAAGATCAAAATCTTCACTCATTATTTGACGATATTAAGCTTAATTATAACTAATTTGATAAGAGATTACAACGCAAAAAGTCTAGAAATGTTGAAAATAAAATAAAGTTCGTTCCTTTATTCTTTTCTCTCCGCTCAACAAAAACTGCACAGAATGAAAAATCAAAACAATCATTAAAATTCAGTTTTTGAACCTGCATAAGTGCGGTAAATTTAAATGTCTTTATTAATGTTCTACATACTTGCTTGATATCTTTTTCTTTTCGAAATTAAAATAATAATTAAAGTTTAATAATTAGTTTTGATGAATTTTTCACCATTCACTTTCTTCTTCTTGACCTACAGCAGTAGCTGGTTGACGAATATCGGAGCCACCAAATTGATCAGTTTCACCGTAAGCACCAGAATCTCCACTAAAGAATCCAGGAACAACTTGATTTGCTTGCTTCAAAATGCGTGTTAATTCACTGACAACTGCATCATCTTGTGACTTGTCAAAGAAGCTTGTAGCCTTTCCTCGATTACCTACACGTCCTGTTCGTCCAATACGATGGATATATTCATCTACTTCTTTTGGTAAATCATAGTTGATGACATGAGTGACACCTTTAATGTCTAATCCACGAGCAGCAACAGCAGTTGCTATCAAAACCTTTCGAACTCCTTGACGAAATTCTCTTAGAGCTGTTTCACGTTCCTTTTGTGTACGATCGCCATGAATTGATGTTGTAGACATGCTCATTTCTGACAAGAATGATGCCAAATAATCTGCAGTCTTTTTAGTCTCAACAAAAACAAGAATTCGATCTTCTTCTGCACATTCCGAGTAAGTTTTAAGGATATCTGTCAATAATTGACGCTTACCCTTTCGTTCAACTTCAATAAATTCCTGTTCTACATCTTTTGAAGCTCCACCGATAATTCCAATAGTAAGGAACAAGTAGTCACGAAGGAATTTAGAAGCAAGAAGTTGAATTGCATCTGGAAAAGTTGCAGAAAACATCAAAGTTGTCAACTTATCTTTATTCATTGTTTCATGATTGCAAATTGTTTCGATTACTTCACGGAAACCCATATCCAACATACGATCTGCTTCATCCACTAAGTAGAAGTAAGAAAAGTCATGAATTGATTTATACTTATTTGTGTTTCAGCGGCTTTTTAGAAGTAGTTAAATTTGAAATCTCAAAAGCAGTTAAAAGGAGAATAATACTTACAAACTAGGAACTTCAAGTCATCAAAAGTGACAATTGATTTATTGATGAAATCAATAAGCCGTCCCGGTGTAGCGACTAAAATGTGACATCCATTAGTGATGTTTTCAGTTTGATAACGAGTTGCAGCACCGCCATATGCCAAGCAAACTTTAATGAATGATCCAGAAGCAAATTTCATGGCTTCATCGCGTATTTGAATAGCCAATTCACGGGTTGGTGCAACAATTAAGCATTGAGGCTTATTTGGATTTAAAGTGTCATTTTCAGACATTATAACATTCAAAATTGGAAGGACAAAAGATGCAGTTTTACCGGATCCAGTTTGTGCGCAGCCCATTAAATCACGTTTACCCATAATTATTGGAATTGAATGTTTTTGAATTGGTGTTGGTTTCGAGTATCCTGATCGCTTGATGTTATCAATCAGAAATTCGCGCAAATTTCCTTCCTCAAAAGTATTAATCTGCTTGAACTTTTCGTTGTCTTTTCCAGTTACTTGAACATCAATTTTATCAAAATTATCAAAGTTGATTCCTGCAGAAATGGCTGATGCAAATAGAGTTTCTGCATCGGTAGGTTCTTCTGGAATGTAAATTTCTGGCTTCTTTTCATCCTTATTCTCTCCGCCTTCATTTTCATCATTATTACGTCTATTTGGGCGATCAGAATCTTCACGAGACTCGCGATTAAATCCACCACGTCCTCTACGATTTCCAGATCCATGATTTTCATTTCCTTCTTCTGAATTCTCATTTCTACGATTACCAAAACTAAATCCACGACCTCTACCTCGTCTCTCACTAAATCCTGGATTATCATTCTTGGAATCTTCAGAATTGTTTTCTTGGTTATTATTATTTCGATCAGGAAAGCTAGATCCACGACCTCGACCTCTACTTCTTCCACCACGTCCCCGACCTCGCGAAAAGTTATTTTCTCCATCATTTGAATTGCTTTGCTGATTTTGCTAATTATTAAAAAGCAATTTCAAGTAAAATATCTCATTTAAGGACGTTAATATTGATTTATTACCTCTGAAGCTGTTGGTTCTTCGTCTGACCATTCACCCATCTATTGATAGCATGCAAGACAAATTTTATATATTTAAAATACTTCGATAATTAACGGTTTTCAAACAATTTGAAACTATAGAGGTAGTTAAATTGAACAGGTTACACTCTTTGTAAAAAAATTTCGACAGGTTGCAGCCTCAAAAAGTCACTCAAAATATTTATTATAATACCCAAACTTTGTTAATTCTAAATTCTTCAAGATCAATACTGCTTGCCAAATCATTGCAATAGCTCAAAAAAAATTGTTTGTTTTGGTATAAAAGTTTACATTTTTATGAAAAGTTGAAGAAATTAAAGTTTTCTTGACTTACCTTTAAATTTTCTATCGTCTGAGTTTAAGAATTAAAGACTTAAATAACTTAAAAGCTACTTTAACTAATGAAAATCGGTCAAAAATAATGATTGTCTAGCAACACAAAAAATGCGCGTGTTTTTGTAACCGTCAAGTTTAAACAATGACTCAATAATGATAATTCACTCCAGATTTTTTTAAATTTGGTAATTTTTTGACAGATTATTTGCTATAAAATTCATTAAACTGAATCTGAGGCATAATTAAAGCACATAGGCATGTTATGATTAACTAGAGAAATTACTCATGCTACTATCTTTAATTCGAAACAACAACTTCATGTTCAAACGCTCTTATTACAAATGAATTGAAAATAATTGCTGTAAAAATATAACCGTCATTTGAAGTTTGAATTGTATCAAGGGGGTTCATGGATTTGAAAAATCCCCCTTTCAATAGTTTCATTTTTTGTTTTAATTTAGAATAATATGGTTGATTTAAGTTGTTAAGATACTCCAAGATCATGTAAAATTCCTCAAATTCTAATGTCTGATTCAAAACCGTATTATGTAAGTGTTTGCCAAAATAAACTTTATCAAAACCATAAACCCTCGAAAATAATAAATTAGATGACTTAAACATGTTTAAAACAAAATTAAACTATCTACAGACCAGTTTTCAGCAAAATACAAACTTTAAAGATTTAAAAACTTGGGACTTCAAAATAACGGTTAAACAATTTTCAAATCAAAAAGTAAAGTTTTTGCGCCAAAAAACATAAACAAAATAAGTGAGAGTAATCGGCTTGACATATTATAATTAAAAACCATGAATAGATTAGGTAAAATAGTGCATAAAATAGCGAATTATGTTCCGTGGCAAAGTGAAGGACTTACAGAAGATGAATTTAAAGTCTTGGAGTGAGTATTTTAGTAAAAAAATCGAAAACTAGTTTTGTTTACTCATTTCCTTAAAAGTTAAACAATTCAATGCATAATAATAGAATTCCTAGTAAAACTTATGTTACGTACTCTCTTTTTTCTAGTCGAGCAAATGGAGTGGAACTGGCAGAAATTGCATACAATAATCGAATTAACTTCAATAGATTTCTCAAGAATGCTGATTTAATGATTGATGCCTATAATGAGAACTTAGTTTGTAAGTTTAATTAATAAGTTTTTATGCAATTTTAAAAATTTATAATTTACAAACATTTAGGGACTCAAATTAAGGAAGTCAGAGCTTTAAAGCGATGCTTATTAAATCCAGGATCATTTACTGTACAAAAAGTTCCAGTTGGTGCTGAAAAGGAGAAACAAGTTACAGTACGAACTGTCCAAAATGACGATAATGTCGTTCCACAAATGGAATTGCCACAAAATTCTCCAGAAAATATCAGACATTGCATCGAAGAAGCTCCGGAAAGACTAATTGAAAATGAATTAGCACAAACAGTACCAAATACTCGAACTTTTGTATCAAGCTTGCTTGCTGACAATTCGGGATTATCTAAATCTATTTCAATGCACCGAAATGTTATTCGTGAAACTGGAAATATAACATTACAGCAACAAAATCCTATTCCTAATGTCGACAGTTCATTAGACAATGATGAAATGCCGATATTAGATGAAATGGAAATGGCTAAAATGGGTGTTTTTGATGGACTTGCTGGAAAAAGAATTTCAAGAGTTTTACACCAAAGAGAAAGAGCACATCCAATTCCAAATTTAAGTGTTGATGCTGAATCAGCTCCTAGAAATGTTCAGCCGCTAGAAATTGACATTAATCCATTATCTGTCGAAAATATGGACAATCTTTTATTCACCCCTAATACAGGTAAGGAATTTTAACGGTTTTACAAAATTCGAACTTAACGGTTTTAACCGGTTCGCAAATATATTTGAATTTTCCGTTAATGTTCTAAATTTAGATTCATACGATGTTCCTGATCTAAGTCCACTTCATGCAAACCAAGAACAAATCCAGCAACCAATAATTAACGATCAACAGCAGAGCCAAGTTATCGTTGAACAAATTAATCCTGAAAATGTCCAAATACCAAATTTAAATGCAGAACAAGCGCAAGAAGAGATTGAAAATGCTACGAATGGACGAGATAGCATGGCTGAACGCGCTGACTCATTCCGAAATGCTGTTGAGGCATTTGAAACACTTCTTGGACGAGCTCGTCGAGTCATTAGAAAAGGAAAGAATCTACAAAATCGTCAAAGACAGCCACAAATGGAAGAAGAGTTGGTCATGCTTAAGTTACGAAGGGAAGTTACATTTAAAACCAAAAAAACAAAACACGCACGAAAAATCAAGCAAAATAAATTAGTAATTGTGGATTTAGACTTTTTTGGTGATATTGAAGTATATATTTCTAATGATATGCCATTTGATGAAGCACAGTTAGAAGTTGAAGTTCCACAACGACGTGAAAGTGACTTTAATATCGAATTTAATCCTGTAACATCACATCATCGTGTCGCAACATCAACGCCAATGAATTCAGCACAGAAAAATAAACGATTAATTAGCTCACCAGAACAACTTGATCAACAAGCAAAAAGAACACGATTAGAAACTCTTGATGATGTCCGTAATTATCTTATAGATCTGCCCAATCCGACTGAAAGTATGGCTCCAATTCCTGAAGTTCCACAAGAATTGACAGATGTTGAAGTCCCTGCATTAAATGTAAGTTAAGATTTTAACGCTTTTTGTAGAATTCAAAAGCTTTTAACGGTTTTTGTAAGATTTAAAAGTTTTCAACGTTTTTTGTAGAATTCAAATTTTAACGGTTTTTATAGAATTTTCAAAAAATTAACGATTTAAAAATTATTTTACTCGACAGCAATCAAATTCTGCTCAACAACCGGTACAACTAACTTCATTGTCAGTTCCACATATCCCTAGTATCGAACCATCCCTTCCAATTCATCCAATCCAACAAGACCATTTTGAACCTCCAATAATTGAACCTGAATTGCCTCAATTAGATATTTTTGAGCCACCTGCACCAATTCAACGAGAATTACTTCCTGCAGTCCCTGAAATTCCCGAATTAGAAATGGAATCATCTCCACTTCCATTAGCTGAATCATCTCGTGAACAAACCATTCCACAAATGAGACGTCAATCACGTTTAGAAATTTTACAGAACCTTCATGTTACGCCAGATTCTATTGATTATGATCGATTAAGGCGAAACTCAAAACTTCGAAAGACTCCAATTGATTCAAGAATACAAATCTTGCCTGAAGAAATATTCCAAAATGCTTGTGAAAATATATCAGAGCGAGAAGCTGCAAAAATGAGAAATGCATTGGGAAATAAAGCCCATGAACCACTTTTAAATCCACCTGAAATACCTCAAACATCAACTCCAGCACCAAAACCAGTAAAAGATAAATTTGGTGGACTTCCGAGAGTCATGATGAATGGAGAATTGTACGTTGAACTAAAAAGCAGAGATGGAAGTAAAAAAATCTATTATACTGAGCATCAATTAAGTTGTTTGACATTATACTTTAAAATTAGATTTCTTATGCGTAAGCTTAAAGGCACAAATCAACCATGGAGAATGACAATTAAAGAATTATTCAGCCAATTAAAGGACTTAAAGGAATCAAAACTCGTGACATATCAACAATTAAAGCACATGACACAAATAAAGCTCTTTGAAGCAAAATGGTCTGATGATGACTTGCTGGAAATTGAGATACCAATTGATTTAATTGATGAGACAAGCGACAAGGAGAATACACCGTCTGTTCGTCAAGTTTCATTGCGTCAACCTTTAGGTAAACTATTATAGCAAGTTTAAAGGATTTTCAAATTTTGAATTCTTAACGGATTTTTAAGATTTGAAAATTTAACGGTTTTTTAAGATTTGAAAAATGCTAAAGCTGAAAAGAAGCTTCGTTGGATAATATTAAGGCTTATTGAGTCATAGTTGCTCTAAATTTGAATAGTGTTAAGTATAACAATTAAGAAGAGATTATAATATAAAGTAAGTGAGCATATGTGTAATAATAATAAGAAACTCAATAAATAAGGTTTTTAAGTAGCATAGAATTCTTAGTTTCTAAATTTCTAAGTTTTTATTAAATTTCCTATTACAATGAGTTTTTGTTTTGTTTAATAAATTACAGATATTCATTAGTAAGTTGTGTGTGGTTTTTAATTTGCTATTTTATAATTTTTTTCAGTTTTGATACCAAACTTTTTATTTACTGACACTGAAATAATTTTTATGTGTATAACAATTTCCACATTTGAGCAAAATTATGGTAATTCTGCATGTGACATGACAAAGTATAATTTTATTAATCTCATTTTATTAAAGGAGATTTTTACTCCGTTACTCAACCGGAAAAGTCGCTGTGATCGAAAAGCGCTTGATCATAGCTTTCAGCTTTTACGAGTCGTCCACCAAAGAATCGTCCATTAAGCGCAGAACTTGCCTTGTCAGCTTCTGGAAATTAAAATGGAAAAAATAAAATTGTAATTTAACGGATTTTGAGAATTTGAAAACTGCTTGAAATTTAACGGATTTTTAAAATTTGAAATTTAAATTCTTGAAAACCGTTAACTTTATAGCAGTTTTAAGCAGGAAAGTCCAAACTTACCAATTGATAAAGAAAACTCAACAAAGATTTTCACAATAATATCTCCATAATCATCGTCGTCATTTTCAGTTTGTTTTTCTTTATAAATAATAACTTTCTCGACAACTCCGTACTTGCTGCACTCGTCCTGAATTTCTTCTTGAAGTGTTTCATCTACATCCTTAAATAATATCAAAAAAATTAATAAAATAAACTCAATTAAATGTAGATATAACTTACTTCCGGTCCAACCATGTTTCGAAGGATGACAACCTTACTCTCACGTGGCCTCATTAATCTCTGCATTACTAAATGACGCGCATTTTGTCCTTTAATGGACATAGATTCTTGCTGTTGTAAGGTCGGTTCTCCTTCTTCCAATAATTTCTTTTGCAATTCTTCCTGCTTTTGCTTTACAATTTCTTCACTACTCAATGTTGTTTGAAGTCCCTCAGTTGATGCTGTAATGGAAGCTGTATTTATGGAAGGAACTAAACCTGTTGATAAAATGTGACTTGTTTGAATTACTGTTGGAAGTACTGTCGGTGGAGGAATAGTTGCTGTTGTAGCAGTTGGAAGTGACATTGATGGTGATGTTGAGAGAGTTTTGAGTCCAAGTGTTGGTGTTGTCGCACTTAATACATTTGCCTGTACAGCATCCATAGCTTGAATTTTCGCAGTTGCTGCTGCTGCCGCCACTACAATAAGATTAAATAAATGTACCATTAAAATTTTATTCTTAAATCCGTTAAAAAATTTGAACTCTTCAAAACCGGTAAAATTCAAATTTAAAAAGTACTTTAAAAATAGTAATTGAACTAACCAGCTGCTGCCGTCGGCATTGATGAATTTACAGCAGGACTGACGAGTGCATTTGGTGGAGTAATAGCTCTTCCAACTCTTAAAAGTTGTCCCCCAAGATCAAAAAGATTCATGCTTGCTATAGATTCTAAAGCAGCTTGATTAGTACTGTATTCAATAAATCCATAACCTTTGTGACTTCCAGGTGACGTGCCTGGTGCAAGTTTACAGAAAACAATCGCACCAAAAGCCTCAAAAACACTCTTAATGTCTTCTTCTGTAAGTTCAGGATGAATAGAAGCAATATAAATTCGGTTGTAATTCTTTGCTTCTTCCTGAATCTCGTCAATGACTTGTTGAGCTTGGGGCATGTTACTTGGACGACCTACTTTAATATTCCTTCCACCTAAAAGAGCGCCATTCATTTGATCTAGTGCTAGTTGAGCTCCCTCGGGCTAAAATGTTGATTTTAATAAATTTGAAATTAAAAAAACCGTTAAAAATTTGAATTACTCACAATTTCATATTCAACAAACGCGAATCCTTTATGCTTCTGCGTGACAGGATCCCATGACATATTGATCGATTTAATCGGTCCGAAAGGAAGAAATGCAGCTCGAATTGTGTCTTCCTTCAACTCAAAAGAGATGCTCCCAACATAAACTCTAAATTTTGAGAAAATCACATTAGAAAAGTTCTTTTTGGATAGACTTTAAACTTGAATAGAGCTTAAATCAGATCTTATCAACAATATTTAGGTTCACATTCAACGGAATTCTTCTGATTAGTGACTAATCAGGACTCGACATACTTCAAATTCGCCTTATTTTACATCATACTGAACAATTGACTTACAAAAAAATTAGTTTTCTTACCTGCACATTAAAGCCAATGCTTGCTGCCTTTGAACTTGTGTCCTTTGCGTGGCTAATTGCTGCTGTTGATGTGCGAGTGTTTGCTTCATTAAGACCATCCTAATACTTTGTTCCATTGCATACTTTTTGGCTACAAATAATCAATAAATATAATTATAGCTTATAAACAAATTAAGCACCATTCATACCTTTTGTAACGGTGTCAAATTGGTCACTATTAAGTTTTGGCAAAGCCCCACCGAAAATGCCCAAAACTCGTGTTCCTGGACCGAAAGCAACATCGCCTGTTTGCTTAATATTGTAGATCGGTTGCTTAATGAATTTTGGCGTATAATCTACAAAGGATTAAAAAATTAAGCTAAATTTGTTTAACATAAATGAAATAAAAAATTATTCATTTTAATGACACGCTTTTTTCTTTGGTCTTCGTAATTTTTTTAATCATCATGAGCTTTAAAATGTATGAAATGGAAAAGTTGAAACGCATAAATGTAGTTAAGAATAATTTATGTTATTTGACAATAATTTTTTAATTGGAAAATACACAGCATAAGACGTGTGCTTGAAAAAAAAGGAGAAAGAGTCTAGTTCAAAGTGTGGAAATTTATTGCTACCTTTTGAGTGGTTTGGCCTAGATCCAGTAAATGTGGAATGTTGTTTGAATTTTTATTGAGTTCTACAAAACCGTACAAATTACTTAAAACCATACAAATGTTTCATAAAATTCAAATTAAAAAGGCCGTTATTCAGAAACCAAACAAATGTTTCATAAAATTCAAATTAAAAATAGCCGTTAATCAGAAACCATACAAATGTTTCATAAAATTCAAAACAAATGAACGTTATTCAGAAACCATACAAATATTTCATAAAATTCAAATTAAAAAAGCCGTTAATCAGAAACCATGTAAATGTTTCATAAAATTCAAAACTTAAATGAACGTTATTCAGAAACCATACAAATGTTTCATAAAATTCAAATTAAAAAAACCATTAATCAGAAACCATGTAAATGTTTCATAAAATTCAAAACTTAAATGAACGTTATTATGAAGTTCCACACTGGCTGAATCTAGATGAAAAAGAGATAAAATAGTAAGCCGAAAAAAGAGGAAAAAGAACCACACAGTGAAAAAAAAAGAATTACTGTACATTGCTTCAAACAACAACTTTTCTATCTCATAATATGTGCAATTATTTAAATGTTGAAAATAAATATAAAGGAATTGTTTTAAGATAGAGAAAAACAAATTTTATATGATATAATTCAGCCCTGTAAAGAAAAAAAGAAAAACAAAAACAAAACAAAAAAAATTAATGTGTTTCGACTTGTTCTACAATTAGAGTTTTTTTTTTTTGGACAGAAGAGTGAGATTTTTTAAAAAAAGCGCTCGGGCCCGATTAGTTAATTTGACATAAAAAATTTCTCTTTCGATCAAGAATCAGATTTGCACGGTCAACTATAAATATTATTAGTATGTATCGCAGCTCTGTAATTAAAGATGAGAAACGAGATGTTTCCGAGAAGAATGAAAAAAGAAATAAAAAAAAGAAAAAAACAAAAAAAAAGACTTTTTTGCAAACAGCCTGCAGAATCAGCATTCCATGCATGTCACTGAGAAGGAGTCTCTTCGCACCAAGATCGCTGCTGATGAATTAGAAACAGTAAAACACACAAAACAGTTTAATAGAAAAAAAATAAAAAAAAATAGTGAAATGAGATTTTTTTTTGGCATGGAAATCACGTTGTATCTGGTTCAGCACGCGCAATTACATGATACACAATGAAAACTTTGAGAAAGTCGAGAGATTTCAACATTTTAATTTCGCTCATGACGACGATTTTTCAGTGTAATTTTACTGCATTTCGCAATAGCTTTTAATTCACTCTACCAATGATTTATGTGTGTGCATCCGTCAATCCATCCATTGATCAATCCCCTAAATTATTTTTCATAATTTTTCTACTTTTTTTTTGGCAATTTTATCGGACTTTTCTTTTCATAAGTTTTTTTTATAGTTTTTCATTTAAAATTCAAAGAGTTTGACTTTTTTTGAATCAGAGAAAGAGAAACTTCTTAAATTAAAAAAAGAAAAAAAAGAAACACAAAAAAAATATTATTTAATTATGATGTTTGGAGCCAAATTTTGCAGAGAATGGTAAATATTATAATATATATGAAAATTATACTATTTTTTATATTATTATTATCGAATAACATTATCGTCGCACCTTTCACCCGATTTATGTTTTTTTTTGTGTGTAATATTCTTTAATATTTGTTCTATTTACGAATGAGTTTTTATCAAAATATGGTTTAGCAGTTTATCGTCACAAGACAAAGTTGAATTTGACTGGCTTTCTGGGTCAAGATTTTACTTCCAAGCATAAGACAGAGTAAAATATTTGATTTTTACCGTTAAATTATTATTCAAATGTTTCAAAATTCAAATTTTACTTATTATTATTATTATTATTTTTATTTTTATTATGGTCCGTATTAATAATTAAAGGACCTTTACTTTTCTCTTGTTTTCTTACGTATAAAAGGAAAAAGCAGTTTGAAAAGTACTTAAACTATTTCAAACTGCATAAAAAACCTTTCATTTTTCATTTTATTATTATTTACAAGTTTTCTTTTCTAGAAATTTTAGTCGTAACATAGCTAGTGAAGTTATATTTTCTCGTAAATACTTATTTCATTTAAATACGCTATTACATTTAAGAGTTTTTGATTTTTGTCAGATTTAAGTGTGTCGAAGTCAATTTTATGTTTGTCCTGTAATTGTTTGTGGAGGCTGCAGTCGAAAATGTGCTTCACTGTTAATGGTTCATCATAACTGCAAAATTTTACTTATTCGTTATATGAAAACCATACAAATTCCTAATATTTAAATCAAAAACCCTACAAATGTTTGAAATTCAAATTTAAAAAGACCGTTATTTAAAAAATTTTAAATCACGCTTTTAAACGTTTAAAAATAAACAAAACTGTGCTACTTTGAATAATTAACGGTTCATAATTAGCACAAACATTTTACTTTTTGCTATCCGAAAAAAACGAAGCATATGAACAAATCTGAATCCAGAAAGCAGCCCAACATCAACTCTGATTTAACAAATAAGAATATGGGAACGTAATAAAAATGATTACACCAATAATTATAAAATAGAAAATAGCGGAATGAGGGTAAGGTAATTCATATTTTATACTCTGGCTCCTTAGACATGATCATTTTTTGGGGTTTTAAAGCAAGCATTTATGCGAGGAAGCTATTTGAGCACTTAATTGTTCAATTATTGAAAATTGTAGTCAATTTTCTTCTCTACTTCCTCGTCAAGGTCATTTTTTCGAGAAAATAAAGCAACAACAAATTCACAGCAGCTTCACAAAACTCAAAGAAATTCCTCGCATTAAATATAATTAACAAGACTTACACTATAATATAGAGTAAGATAGAATATATCATTCAAGGAAACACAAAAATCACTAATTTGATATGGTAAATATATATATGCAAAAAGAATTAATTAAAGCAGACACGATAGGCAAAGAATTGTTTTAATGGGAAAGGCGACGAAATTAATTTAACTTATTTTTTAATGATTAACATATTTAACACTATTCACCTTTTTCCGTCTTTTGCCTTTTGGATGGTGAAGAATGTTCACTTTCTGTTGTTGAATCCGTATCGAAATTATCCTTGTTGCCCTGAAAATTAAATATGGATGTTCATGAAGCGATTTGCAAAAATTTTAATTTCATAATTTTCATCTCTTACCATGATTTTAATGAGCTTTTTTCAGCTTTTCCGATTGAATTGGATCTTTAATTAACTGAATCAGATATTTTTATTTTGTTATCTATGCGTTTAAATGTATTAAACTAATTTATTTAAACTTTGATAGATTAAGCGTATGAGAGTAAAATTCAGGGTTTGAAAAAGTACTTTTTTTGGTCGGTTTATCGAGGTTTCAGCTTATTTATTGAACTACTGTTTCTATGTTCTTTCTGTCCGAATTTCCAAAATGTTTCTACTTGCTTTATGCGTTATTTAAATAACTTTCAGACTTTCTCGTATTTTTGAGATTTGGACCGTTATTTTAAAATTCAAATTAAGTTTCCAAAAACTCGTGCTATAAAAATGCTAGAAACCTTTTTTCAAACTTTAAATCACCGTTAAAATTTGCTATAATAATCACAATTACATCAAAATTTTAGAGTGCCTATAAAAACCATAATTAAGCAGCTTTTGAGAAACCACATTACAACCACAAATACTGATAAGACAATTACTGATAAGTCAAACGCGCTAATCGGTGCTTAAAAGATCGCTCAACTTGTTTCGGGTTAGGAAATTTTGTGAAAAAATAACACTTTGGAATTATTTATCTAATTAATTAATATAAAGACATTTAAGCATCAAGATGAGTAACATTGAGAAGGCATTTGTTCGTGGATTCATTAAGTTCTTAAATAAACAAATAACGGAGAAGAATTCAGAAGCAGGCGAATCATTGGAAGGTAATGTCTGGATCTATTTACACAATATATCGAAAGATTTACATTATATTTCCATCATATAGTTGCTGTACAATGTCTAGAGTCATGCTTTGAATTGAATCAAAATGATGATGCATCAAATCCACTGAATAATGTGGACTTATTTGAATTATTCGTAAATGCATATGTCAGTACTAATCCGGAGAGTAAGCAAGAAGCAGAAAACTTAAAAAATGAAGGAAATCGATTGATGAAAGAAGAGAAATATAATGAAGCTCTTGTGTCCTATGGACGTGCTATTGCACTTGATGCAAGCAATCCAATTTATTATTGTAATCGTGCTGCTGCTTATAGTCGTTTAGGTGATTATCAAAAGGCTGTTGATGACTGCAATCAAGCTCTTAGATATGACCCAAATTATGGAAAGGCTTACGGACGTCTTGGATTAGCTTATTCCAAAATGAATCGTCATCAAGAAGCTATTGATGCCTATAAGAATGCATTAAGAGTTGAGCCTGACAATCAGGACTATAAGAATAACATGGAAGTGACTCAGCAACGTTTAGAGGAACAACAGACGAGTGGACCGGGACCTGGTAAGCTTCAAATTCTGTTTAAATTGAAAATAAATCATTAATTAATTTAATTATAGCTGGTTTGGCTGCTGGTTTGCCAGGCGGATTCCCAGGAATGGGAAATATTGATTTTGCTGCTGCTCTTAATAATCCAGCATTAGTTAACATGGCTACACGAATGATGGGTGATCCTTCAATTCAGAACATGCTAGGTCAATTAAGCGGTAAGCTCCTATAATCTGTGGTTTATTCAATTAATTAATTCGATGCATCTATTCAGGTATGAATAATGTTGATGCTTTGCTTGAAACTGGACGACAACTAGCTATGCAAATGAGTAGCGAAAATCCAGAATTGTTTGCTCAAATTCGTCGTCAAATGGAAGAGCAAGGAGGAATGGAAGGCGGTAGCGCTGAAACTGAGCCTAATCCAAATCCAGAGAATGAGAAAAAGCCTTAATTTTTTTTGGTGAAAAAATTGTGTAACTTTTTTAAATTAGATTCTTGTTCCCTTCTTTCTATACAATTAAAATATTGAATTCTGTATGAGTGCAAGCATTATTCGCATATTATGTTCACATTATTGATAAATAAAGGACAAGTACATTTATTCTAACAAAACTTCTTGTGTGGCTTAAATAACTGAAATTGATGATTTGTAATTTAACGGAAATTGTAAAATTTGAATTTTTTTGAAACATTTTTTTGAATTCTACAACACCGTTAAAATCCAAATTCTACAAAACCGTTACATCACTTTAATTAATTTGACACATTTGTTGACCTCAACGATGTCAAAAAGCAATAAATTAAATGAAAGTGTAAAGACAGAAAAAAAGCATATCCAATTAAACTGTAAAGACATAAAAATGAATAAAAGACTTAGCTTCATATTTCATAAACTTTATTTCATTAGAAAAAATAATTAATTCATTTAATCTGAATTTTCCATATCCTCGTCACTATCTTCTTCATTCTCATCAAGCTCTACGTCATCATCTGAATCTACTGCCTCAATTACCATTGTTGCAGATTCGTCAGATTTCTTTGCCTTCTTGCCATTCTTTTGAGTTGCAATTTTGTCCTTAGCTTTCATTGACTTCTTCAAACTCTTCTTTGAATCATCTACAACTTTAATTATGCTCTCAAAACCGCTATCTTTTAAGTAACAACATTCAACATTGACCTTAAATTTAGCTAATGGTCTGCTTAACAATTTCAGGATTTTTGCTTGTTCTGGTGTTAAAGTTTGTCCCTTTTTACAGACTGTATATTCACCAATTAGTGTAACAATTCCTTTTTGTAAGCTTGTTGGCATTCCTAATTTTCTTAAATGCGGTTCTATGGCATGGGAAAAATCAGGAAGTGGACCTTCTGGAAGAACAACTGTTTCTTGTGCCTTAAAACCACCTCGAGCAAATTCTTCTGTTGAATATTCCTTAAACCAGTCACAAACTGTCACTTTATCTTCTTTTGTAAACAATAATCCTCTCTGTCCTTCCAATCTTTCTATTAGCTCATCACTAACGTCTGCATTCTTAAGTCCTAATTCTAATTTATACATTCTATTAGCCACAATACTATTTTTTTTATCTAAGCTACTTACTCATGACTGCAATTTTACCGAAGAAGAATTTTGATCCCTTCCATTCATTTCTGATGTACTTTAATGTGGAATTTCGCATATTATCGACAGAAAATACATAGATATTTGGATACTTTTCAGTGCATTCCTGTATCTCCTCAATTACCTTCTGTTTATGCTCTAATCCTTTGCGATCAGTTTTTGTGAGCGAAACTGAAGATATTTTTTAAGAGCAATTATTAATTTTGTGAATTTCCAGCTATTTAAATGATAAACTCACCTTTCTTATCTCTTTTCGAACGAGGCATGATGAATTATATTAATTCTGATGTAAATTGAAGCTGACAAATGTGTAATTAACTTGATATTTAATTATTTTATAAATGTTCAAAAACGAGCATGTGTTTTTGTTGACAACAATGTGAATACACGATAAATTTGAAATAATTTTAACCGTTAAATAGTGCAATATATTTCTTGATGATTTCTCTAGTCAACGATAGATGTCAGCATGTTCCTCCGATTGCTTACTCCTTTTTGACTATAACTTTTTGTGCTGAGTTTTTGAAAGTCAAGATCACAAGTTGAAATTAGAGAAATATTTTGCACATTAATGGATCTTAAATGCAGCATAAGATTCTCATTACTATCTGCCAAAACGCATGCCTATACATCAAGGAATTCATCAAATTAGCAATAATTAATATGAATCACTAAATTCTTCTGGATCATACAATAAAACATTTCCCTTCGATTTTATTTATCAAAAAATGCTCTCAACCATAAAATCGTTCGGAATGGTTTAATTGCCTTCTGCAACTTTTCATGTCTGTCAGTTGTCTTTCCATTCCTTGGCTAAATTGAAAACGGTAGCACAATAAATTGGTTATGCCACAAGATATTCATGCTGCGCCTCTTGACGTGCCTCAATCTTTTCTTCATTCCAATGTTTTATTCCTTCTCTTTGTTATTATTCTTGGAGATTATGTTTACACACTTTAATAAGCAGTAAGAACTAATGGAATTTGGATTGTATAAAACATGATTATGAATTAATAGTCTTGTGGATGGTGGAAAATTCCATGAATTTAGTTTTGATGCCAAAAGTGACTGGAAGACTTGCAGGAACTTTATAAACCTTACAAAATTTAAAACCACCATTTAGTTCCAATCAAAACTCATTGAATAAGTGCAGCATACAGCTAGTGCACTGCACAAACAAAAACAAGCCCACTCAGCCTGTTAACCAAGTAGACACATGACAAGGACAGACATGTAAACGGAATTTCCTTCATAAAATATGACTATAATACTAAATAATAAAAATGAATGCATAATAAAAATAGTTGTCAGCTATCGTGAAATATATAATCCCCACAGTTTTCCTTACACCCCAAAAAATTTCATGGTGAAAAAATAATAAAAATAAAAAAAAATTATTCAATTCAATTTTTAAGTGCATTATGCGAAATATGAAATATGGTTGTTGCTTTCACTGACTGAGCATCGATAATACTATGCGATTACCACAAAAATAGATTTTCATTTTAACATCCGTTCACAGATATAAATGTTCATGTACATCAGCAAGTATTGCAATGCACAATATTATAAAATGAAATTCAACAAATTTTTAACTGTTAAAATCATTCCATTGTCGCACAACATAATTCGTAATTATTTGATTGTAAATTTCATTATCCCCATTTATGCCTTTATATTGTGATTTATGTCAGTTGTTCAACTTTTTTTTTATCTCAATAAATTTATAGTGAGCAATAAAGCATACAAATTTCATTAAATCATACAATAGATAAGAGCGGAGGAGTTTTATCATTTAATTAATGCTTAATTAATAATCTCCAAATTAAGCGAAAAGGAGATTAAGCATCATTCATGAAATGAGCACGTGCTGACACTGCGCATTGCCATAATGTGTCGTCTTTAATCCACTTTTTATTGCTCATCATGATGAATTTTTATGGTCCTTAATGTCTTCATTTCGAATAAAAATTTGTCAAAGGACATTGCCATGACGATGAAGTGATTCGAGATTGGTAGATGATTCGCTGTGATTTTTAAGGTTGTATGGATGTAAAATTTATGATAAAAATTATTTAAGTTTTATATTCAATATTTTTAAACTTAAGTTACTAAATCTTTGAAAAGTATTAAAATTAATCAATATTCAAGCATATTTAGTATCAGAAACTCAAAAACAAGCAAGCAGTTTCAGTCAAAAAACAGCAAAATCATTAATTTAAAATAAATCGATTGGATTAAATGTGCTGTGATAGTTTTCCATTTTCCTTCGTTTACATCTCTGTTGTCAGCTCTTGATTGTAACAAAAGTAATACAATAAAAGAAAGGATACTGAAGGACGATGAGAAGGAAAAATCTGTCAAGTGCTGAACTGAAAGTGAAAAAAAGACGAAGAATTCTTTTTTTGCTGCTTTCGCTTTTATTTTTGACTAGAAAAAAATAAAGAAATGAAAAGTGCTGTTATTGTGCTCATTCAAGGATATTTATCAGCATCTTTTCTGTTTCATCTTATGGAAACATACATATAAGACATGAATATTGTATACATATAAGCACAGAAAAGTTCCTAAGGTGATGACTATATTTCCTATACATAAAAATGTTTTTTCTCTCGAGCATTTTTCATTTTGAACGTCTTCTTCCATTTAAGACATTTTTCCTTTTCACTTTTTCCATTTTCTTTCATTTTACTTACCATTTGAATGGCATGAGAGCTATTCAGATTAGGGGCTGTTCACTTATTACGTAACGCGAAAAAATGACTTTTTAGACCCCCCCCCCCCTCGTAACAAAATTTGTATGAAAAAAAAATTTCCTTGTTTGAACCGTAACAAAATCTTAGACCCCCCCCCCTAAAAGCGTTACGTAATAAGTGAATGGCCCCTTATGGAAATTTCGATTTAGCTAAAATCATTGGGAATTGAATCGGTTTGGCTTGCATTTTGGATAGTCAAGCATTAATTGAACAAATAAAGAATAAACCTTCGTTCAGTTTTTACGTAACGCGAAAAAACGACTTTTTAGACCCCCCCCTCCCCCCCGTAACAAAATTTGTATGAAAAAAATTTCTTTTGTTTGAACCGTAACAAAATCTTAGACCCCCGTCACCCCTAAAAGCGTTACGTAATAAGTGAACGGCCCCTTTGAATGCTGATGTAAGTAAAAGCCAAAAGGGACAGGCATTTACAGATTTAGAACACTAAGAAGTCATACAAAAAAATTAAATGAAGTGGGTAGCGCAGTCTCATTCATTTGAGTATTCTTTGACAAATTGACTTTACTTTAGCTATATAGGCTGAATGAAATCGTTGCTAGACATACTCAAGTTCATTCTCAAAGTTCAATTATACCCAAATGAGTCTAATGTATCACAATTGACCAGTGAAGTAAATAAACGTGTAAGACAAATAAAATGCGCTTAACATCAAGACAAGGCAGATTGACTTCAAAACTATTTCATTCTTCTTCATGTCTTCACAGAAATAGTCAAGAAAAAGAACATAAAAGTGAATATATATATGTATCTTAAGGGGGAGAAATAAACAAAATGAAAAAAAAAAAAAAATATTCGTGTGTAGGAGGTGTGGGCAACATCATCATCATCATTTGGAATCATCAACGAGAAAAGAAATGAAAAAAAATCTGAAATATAAATAGGAAAAGATGGAATAAGGGAGAACGCAATCATGCGCAAAGAGAAAACAACTTTTTATTCATTCTTACCATTCTTTATATTATTATGTAACGCACACACAATAAATACAGGGAGCCGCTCGCTCTGTGTGAGCTATAAAGACACACACGAAAAACTTTTTGTTTCCATCTTCTCTTCATCCTATTCATCTTCCGAAAGCCATGAAAAGTCGCACCCGAAAAAAAAAGGAGAATAGAAAAATCAATGAAGAGAGAAAGCCGCTGGATTATCAAGAGATATAAGGATGAAAATCATGTATACGTAGATGAAAGGAAGAAAAATCGAATGAATATCTAAAGGTATGTTGTTTTGATAGTGAATTAGAAGGGTGGGAAAAAAACATCAGCATTAAGTTCAATAAAGAATCAAATGTGAATTACAAATAGGCTTTTCGGGTCTCTCTTTCTGATCTATAGCATCTTTTGAGGTATGTTGTGGATGTAGATGTACAGTTATTGCGTTCAATTGACATATTTTGTCGGGCTGTCTGATGTACTCCTCGGTGATGGTCTATGAACTTTGATAAACTAGCAATGGATCTAATTGCATCTTATTTAACCTTTGTAAACCTTCCCTACTTTGACTTAAGACTATCAGACCTTCTATGCGTACAATAACCCTCCTGAACTTCCAGAAATTGCACTTCAAATTTTTGCACATAGGCCTCGCATAAATTCCTTACTTATGATCACTCTTTGTATTCACAACCATACGCATGCATCTTTTTCATTCTTTTCGTTTCTTTCATTTTTTTTCTACCTTTGATCATCAAGAAAATAAAATGAAAAGAAAGGAGATTAAAAAAGTTTATGTGGACGACGTTACCTGCGTAAATATATCGATTGCATTAATCCCTTTGAAAGATGTAACCGCTAAAAGAATCCTTTATCTCATCTTCTTATTGCATGTAACATGTTTTTCTTTAATGTATTTGAGTTGAGATTAATTCTGAATAAAGGGAACAAGACGAGATAAATGTGGGCAGATAATGTAGTACAAGAATGGGAGGACTTGCAGTTACATTCTTTCAATTCTTTTATGTTGTTTGTATTGGAAATGGTACATAGTCATAATAACATAATTGAAATGTTTGTTTCTATTATCAATGCATGCTCATGGCTAGGATAGTATTGAGTTTGTAAGGATTTTTAAAATATATGATCAATAACTGCGGACTATTTCCATTTTCTCATGGATCATTCACCTTGTGATTTAAATTGTTAATATCTTTTAATTTAGAAGCTTTTGTACTAATTATTTGATTTGAGGCAACTTAAATAAGAGGAGCAAAGCACTACCAATAACTTTTAACTATATTTAGAACTATAAAAGTCCAAAAAATCAATTAAATTCACATAACCTTCCAAAACAATTTCAAAATACCAAATCTGAAGATCAATCCTGTATGAACAAACCCTGAGCATGTAAAAAATACTTTGTCGAGATTAAGAACAGTTTTTCATTTACTTTTACTGTTTGTCCCATAAAAACGAGAACAATAATAACAATCGAAAGAGAAAACCATGCTACGGACATTTCAGTGTCGAATTTTTTCGACATGTTTAAATTTAGTCGACCTAGCGTTTGTATATTTTAAAACCGTTAAAAATCTGTCAATTTTAAGATTTTAAGCATTAATATTTAAATTCCTGTATTTTTCTGGGATGATTTTAGCTAAAATTAG